CCTTCCTAGGGCTGAGAGAAAGTGACTGGCCCAAAGTCTGCCAGTTGGCTTTGTGCCTAAGGCAGAACTAGAACTCTTGGTCTCCAAGTTTCTAGTCTGGTGCCTTTACCACTGCACCAAACTGACCCTCAAAGTACAAATGCTAGGGTCAAAGAAAAGCTAAACCAAAAAACTATGAAGCACCTTATGTTTAATATGTTGTTTGAATGGGATAGCATCTTAAGAGTGCAAAAGTAGATGGAGTTAACTTACCTTTCCACTGAAGCAAAATTTGTTCTATTCAAATATTTACTTTGCATATGAATGGTCTGACTGCTCAGTTGGATAGGCAATTTATACATGTTTTTATAGAGGATGGAATTATGTTTGCAATTAATCTCCCTGTCCATCATTATTAACTACCTTGAGCTGTCAAGAAGATAGTAAATAATTGGATGAAAATAATCAGATTGTCTACCTACTATAGGCCTAGTATTACAAAGCACGCTGTTATTTTTACAGCAGTAAAACGCCTTCGGATATTTTCTCTGAAAGTGATGCAGTTTTGTAAACTTGTTACCCAGAAATGTAATAGTGAAAGGTTTGGTTGAATATAACAGGCAACCAATATGAACAGCATTTTGTACGCTATTTTTTCTTTCCCTCCAAAGAATCACCATTTAAAAAAAATAAATCTCTGTATCTGTAGTTTCTGGCTACCTCTACCTCTATATATTTACTATGAGCATCAGATCCAGGTAGCAGAAATCCATAAAACCCCTAGCTGATAGCAAAGAGAGGCAGAAAATATTAATCCCTCATTGCCATCTAATGGTCATCCTGTATTTTTGCAGCTCAAGAAAGTAAACCTAAATTCAGGGGTTACATTTCTACTTTTATAACCAGGTATCAGCAACAGCTCTGATAGGCCCTAGAATCCTAAATCTTACCAAATTTTGGGGTTGTATTAAACAAATGCAAATGAAAATTTGTGTTTTGCAGATTTCTAAAAGTATTTTTTATAGAATCCCTGATTAATTATTATTTACCCCAATAAAACGATGTACTAATAGCCTTTAACTGGGATCTGGACAAATTTGTTATTTGGAGACTGTGTTGTGCCACAAATAGATCGGGAGCACAACACCGAGAATTCTTGATTAGAATTATCCTGCTTACTGAAATTTTTGGATTGCAATCTCAGTGCAGCTGGAAGGTACCCAATTTGTTTAATGCATGATTGATTTCTTAATTAGACTTATTTTAATAAAGATAATAGTGACTTGTTTATTAAGAGTCTTTCTCACCTAGTTGTGGTTCTTTGAAGACACTCACAAAACTACCTGTGGAATTAAATCACTTGAAGTGGATAGAAACTTGAAATAAAGCATTTAAATGTTTCTTTTCCATGGGTCTTTCTGAAATTGCTTTAAAGTATATTTTTCATCCATTAAATTGAATATGTGTAGTGAATGATATTATATGACAAAGTCCTTTTAACTTAGAGGCTCTAAATTTACATTATAATGTAATTATAATAGAACATTATAGCATAAATTTATTCTTTATAGAATAGGTTTTATTCTATATCTGTACTGTGCTTAGCTATAACTGCATAATATATAAAGCTCCTACTAATACTAATGACTAAATGGATTCTCTGTGTTCAGAGATAATGTACCACTGAACAGCAGCTGCTAAGGATAAGTGGTTGGCCACTATTAGAGTGCTAAATTAGATTTTAGCCTAGCAACATTTCTCTCTGTGTGTCTTTTTTTTTTTTTTTTTGCACCTTTCCCCTTCAGTTCTTCTTCTCCAATGCAGTAGACATATTTTCCTGCCAGGGAAAATAACTGCCAGCTGAGGATAATGCCAAAAGAATCTAAGGAGGAGAATTACAGTCCATGAAAGGACATGCCAGAATAATATTAGTTTGCTTTTATGGTGTCCAAAATCTATGTGTGTGTATTTGTTAGAGAATCAAAAAGAGTTGGAGGAGAAAAAAGCCTTAAAAATAAAAGAGTATAGGTAGTCCTTGACTTAACAATCACAATTGAACCCAAAATTTATGTTGCTAAGTGAAACATTTGTTAAGGGAGTTTGTCCCATTTTACAACCTTTCTTGCTTAGCAGTTGTTAAGTTATTCTTAAATTGGTCAAACTATTGTTAAGTAAATTTGGTTTCCCCACTGCCTTTGCTTGTCAGGTCACGAAAGATGATCAGGTGACCCCGGCACACTGTGACCGTCATAAGTATGAGTCAATTGCCAAGCATCTGAATTTTGATCACATGATCCTAGGGATGCTACAATAGTCGTAAGTGTGAAAACTATTCATAAATCCCTTTTTTCAGTGCCAATGCAACTTTGAATGGTCACTCAACGAACTGTTGTAAGTCAAGGACTACCTTTACTGATGCCTGACTCTGGAGCATTGTTAGATGGAATTTGGTTTGAGCTTTCTTGCTCTGAAAACAAGATGGTAACCCAACTTATATCCAAATTGAGCAGAGAGGGTGACCCCATTCTGAACACACACAGTGAATGCAATCCAAATAGAACATGAATGTTCAGAAACATCCTGTTGACAGCCAAGTATATACCATCAAGGCAATAGATTTTCCAATGGTAAAATAGGGAAATGAAAGCTGGGCTATGTCAAAAGTTGAATGAACAAGAAGCAAATAGTGGCATTGGGCGAAATTGATGTCCTTCATGAGGTAAAAGATAGATTACTCATCAGAAACACTGAAAATGAAGCTAATGTTTAAATATTTTGGACACAGAAGACAAAGGCAGAAATCACTGGAGAAGATCCCGATACTGGAAAATGAAAGGCAATTGAAAAGAAAGAACAGGTAATCCTGCTCTCACAGTTGTTCATTTGGCAACCATTTGAAGTTACAATGGCCCTGAAAGAAATGAAAGAAAGAAATGACTGATTTTTGCACTAATGGCTTTTGCAGCAGCCCCATAATGATGTGATCAAAATTTGGGCACTTGGCAATGATTAAGTGATTCACTTAACAAACACAGCAAAAAAAAAAAAAAGATTGTAAAATCAGTTGCGATTCACTTAACAATTGCCTAGTTTAGCAGCATCCTGGTTTCAAGTATGATCTTAAGTCAGGGGTGTCAATCTCTAGGCCTGCGGTCCTGATCCAGCCCACGGGGTGCTTAGATCTGGCCTGTGGGGCTACCGTGGAAACAGTGAAGGACTAGCCGGTACCTCTGCCAGTGAAAATAGAGCTCGGGAGGGCCGTGTGCAGCCCTCCTGAACTCTGTTTTCACTGGCAGAGGGTTGCAGGAGGCCATCGATGCCGAAAACAGAGCTCAGGAGCCTGTTTTTTCTGGCAGACTGCTCAGGCCACAACAGCCTGAGTTGTGACGTCATGGGTGGCCACGCCCATCCCCCAGCCACAAGGTCAAACAACCCTAGTGTGGCTCTCAATTAAAACGAGTTTGACACCCCTGCCTTAAGTTGTGGACTACCTGTGCAGAGAAGACAAGGTGGCTAGATATCAGACTCAAGCATGAGTTTACAAGAACTCAAAGGCACCAGTTTGGGGGCAAATGAAGCCTATCAAACCACAAAGAATAGGAACGGTCTGATCAAAGGTGAATCTCTAAAGAGGGCTGTAATAAGATATCAATCCTGAATTTTGAGCTGTGAGGCACCACTTGTACAGTCTGAGCACAGGATACAGATTAACAGAGTTGGAAGAGACCTTATACATCATCTAGTCCAACCCCCCTGCCCAAGCAGGCCCTACACCAGAGGTGCCAAACTCACATTGTCAAGGCTGTGTCCTGTGATATATTGGGACTTTTTCCCCTTTTGCTAAACCGGGAGTGGTTTGCTAAACCAGCATGTGACACATCTGGCCTGTGGGCCACGAGTTTGACAGCCCTGCCCTACACCATTTTTGATAGATGACAGTCCAGACTCTCCTTGAAAGCTTCTAGTGATGAAGCTCCCACAACTTCTGAAAGCACCAAGACAGCTCCTTCCTCCTGGTTCGTCTTTTTGGTGAGATACAGGCAGAAATCCAACAGGGGACTCTTTTTCCCTCCCCCCATGGGCTGAAGGGAGGAGAAAACAGGTAGTCCCTGACTTACAACTATTTGTTTAGTGACCATTTGAAGTTGCAACATCACTGAAAAGAAGTGACTTATGAGTATTTTTCATGCTGATGACCGTTGCAGGATACCGATGGTCATGTGATCAAAATTCAGATGCTTGGCAACTGGAACATATCTATGATGTCACAGTGCCCCAGGATTATGTGAATCCTTTTTGTGACTTTCCGACAAGCAAAGTTAACAGTCGGGTCACTAACTTAACAACTGGAGCGATTCACTTAACAGCTGTGGCAAAAAAAGTTCCTAAAATGGGATTGAACTCACTTAACGTCTTGCTTAGCAATGAAAATTTTGGGCTCAACTGTGGTCATGGGTCAAGAACTACAGGTAGTCCTTGACTTACAACAGTTCATTTAGCGACTATTCTAAGTTACAAAGGCACTGAAAAAAGTGACATGACCATTTTTCACACTTATGACAGTTGCAGCATAGCATCCCAGTGGTCACATGATTTACACGTGATACTCATATTTTTGAAGGTTGCAGTATTCAGGAGTCATTTTGTGACTTCCTGACAAGGAAAGTCAATGGAGAAGCCAGATTCACTTAACAACCATGTTACTAATTTAACAGCAGCAGTGATACAGTTGTGGCAAGAAAAATCGTAAAATGGGACAAATTCACTTAACACATTTTTTCACTTAAAAACATACATTTTGGGCTCAATTGTGTGACAGGTCAAGGAGTACCTGAATCCGTCTCTCCTTGCAGCTACCACTGGCAAAAACGAGGCAGAGGGGAGGGGAAGCGACCCAGCCCTCTGGAAAAGCCGGGGAGGGGGTGTCTCTAAAGCGACCCCCACCCCCGCCCATCCTTTCCCCCAGTTCTCTTCTCTGAGGCGTCAGGCCAGCCACGCGCTCTCTGCTCCCACCCACATGGCCAGAAGCCAAGGGCAGGGCGAGGAGAACGTGGTACGAGCAGGATGAACTAAATTTGTATTAAAAAAAAAAAAAAAAGCGGGGGCAGTCCAGAGGAAAAAAACTTCAGAGGAAGCACTGAGCGCCCACGGAGACCGATCGGCTGCACCCCTGCCCAGCCCTGCGCTTCCAACAGGTAATTAAACTCGCTCGGGAAGGAGAGAAAGTAGCGAGTGGGTCGTTCTGATCGAAGTGAGAATCGATATGTGTGTGTGTGTGTGTGTGTGGCGGGGGGGATAGACTTTCTTAAGGGTTTAGGAGGGAGGGGTGCGAGATCCCATCAGTTCAAGACTTGGGGAGGACTCGTGATAGGCGGGAAGGCGACGAAGGACAGCAAGCGGTTTCTTTACTCGCTGGAAAAGGATCGGGAGAAGGGAAAGAAACGGCGCCGTCCTATCAGACGGCCGATCTACTCGCCCCCCGCCTTCCCCGCCATCTAATGTAATCCCTAAACCGCCCATCCTTTCTCCAGCGATCGCTTTTCTCACCCGCCCAACATCCCTTATTCTTCGCGCCTTGCTTTCTGGACGCGGATCGTTGCTTTCGTTGAGTGTTTTTTTTTTTAATTGCTTGGCACCGTATTTTGGCTAGTCTGTTAACAGCAGTCTTTTTTAAAAAGAGAGAGAGAGAGAGAGAGAGTCCGAAGGCATGTTATGCTTACATTCCTGTATCAAACTTTTAATTTAAAATTATTGAGGGGAAAAGGTAGTGGAATAGCTGCCAATGGGAGGCTCCATCTCTCGAACCCCCCAAATTTTTGGCCAATCGCGATTCTTAATAGATTTCAAAACGCTCATTCTTGGGAGGCAGAGGGATGTTGTTGGAGAACTAGCAGGGGGTGTGGAGTGCGAGAAATTTTGGCATAAAATAAACTTTTAGGGGTTTCAGTTCTGCCCTCATTCCAAACCAACTGTATTGGGGAAAATCTGGGTGTGAGAAGTTGAAAAGAAGGAGGTGGACATGTATGATCTTCCTGAGGGTGTTGTCTAATTGCTCTCTTGTCCTTGCTGTTTTTGTTGGGGCTTTGGGTAGGAGTTGCCATTCAGCCACATCTGGAAAACTACAGATTCCCCATTTTAGATGTGCTTCTAAAAGGGGTTTATTACATCCCAGTCAAATGCAAAACCCAACTCACCTATGGTTAATACATTTGATTTCTTTCTGTTTGTTGTACCCTATTTAGCAGCTTTTAAATCTGTCAGAAAGGACAAGATGGAAAGCTTTTGAAAATGAAAAAGTGATTTCAGGCAGATTACCATATAACTTTTAAGATTTAAATACAGGCAGTCCTTGAGTTACGATCAAATTGAGGCCAGAATTTCGGTTGCTAAGCAAGGTGGTTGTAAAGTGAGTCACATCCAATTTTACCTTTTTCGCCATAGTTGTTAAATGAATCACTGCAGTTAGGTGGTTGTTGGCAATGGTTTCCAGCACTGACTTTGTAAATATAATATGCTGGTTGCCAAGCACTTAAATTTTGATCATATGATCATGGGGATACTGTGCAAAGAACGGTTGTAAATCACTTTGGACTGCCATTGTAACTTCTAACAGTCACTAAAGGAACAGTTGAAAGTCAAGGACTGCCCATAGAATTTTAAATTAAATCTGGAGCCCAATGCACACATACTCAGAAAAAAGTCTCATTGGCTATAAATTTTGCTGAATAAATACATACAGAATATTGTGTGCTGGAAAGCATAATTCATTCTATGCAAACTTTCCTTCAATTACAGGGTAGTCCTCAACTTACAACAGTTCATTTTGTGACTTCAAAGTTACAACAACACTGAAAAAAGTGACTTATGAGCATTTTTTGCACTTATGCCCGTTGCAGCATGCTCATGGTCATATAATTATATTCAGATACTTAGCAATGACTCATAGGTATGATGGTTGCAGTGTCCCAGGGTAATGTGATCTCCTTTTGTGACCAGACAAGCAATGGAAAAGCCAGATTCACTTAATAACAGTGTTACTAATTTAACAGCTGCAGTGATTCACTTAACAAATGGGACAAGAAAGGTCATTAAACGGGGGCAAAACTTAACAAATTTCTCACATGGCAACATAAATTTTGGATTGTGGTTGTAATTCGAGGACTACCTGTACATCTCTTCCAATACAACAGTGCTTCATTTTAATCTTATGCTGCATTGTTCAAGGTTTCCCCTATTTTGTAGGGCAGGGAGGTCTGCCAAGTTTGCAGAACTTATTTTTGTGTATGTTACCTTATAATTATGCAGTTTTGGGCATCTTTGCAGAGTAACCAAACTTTCCAAGAACGAGTGCCTTTTGATTTAGCAGTAGGTTAACTCTTTCACAGCCTTCCTAGTCTAGCCATCCTCTGATTTTCTCCTGGATTGGAGAAGGTTGTTTACTGCCTAGGTCAGGAAACTCCAATTCTTGGTAGAGAATTAGTCAAGGAAGGGAACGCCTTTTTTAGTCTGAAAAATGTCACTTGGCAGTTATGTCCATGTGAAACCAGAAAGCAGAAGAGAATTTTAACAATCAAGCTTTAGTCCATGGAGAATTTCTGTTTAGATTACAAATGAAGGAAATGTCCCTTCAAGAATAATATTGAGTCTTAAGTGAAGAAGCAGATCAGATTGAAAAGCATGACAAAGTGGATAATAATGAGATCTGCTAAACTGCAGCCCTACTCAGAGTATCTGACATATCTGTGGTTATCCATTGTTTACACTCATATTATCCAATTAATACACACACAGAGAGAGATATGGGGACTACAGCTCCTGGAATTCTCAGGTATAGAAGACATAGCTCTCTCAGCTCACCAGATTGGGTGTCTCATTTTATTCTAAAACAGGGATACTTAACCTGTAGTCTGTGGAGTTGAAGGCCTATGCATAGATTTCAGGGGGTGTTTGTGGACTTTGATGGGATAACATTTACAACTGACTTCACTATTTTATTTTATACATTTAAAAACAGGTTTCTGAGAAGGGACCTGTAGGTTTCACCTGGCTCTAACAAGGACTCAAGATACAAAAGGTTAAGAACTATTCAAAACATGAAATGAATTTTTTTCAAAGCTCAAGAATTTGAAGGCCATTAGTGAGACTTGACCCCGAAATGTTTTCTTACTAGAGGAGGAGGACAACGTTGCTATTGTTGTCTCACACTGTTCAGATGAGATTTTACAAGATTAAGGCCACTTCCATTTTATTTTAAGTAACAATAATGTATGACTCCCATCTCAGTATCATGTGATTAAACCTCAGAGAGTTGGTCATCCATGCTAGAGTTTGGGGATGAGTAACATGGGACCTCCCAAATATTGCCTAGTCAAAAATTCCGATGCCTCATATCATTGGCCAAGTTATGGTTGGAGTTAAGCTTCAATTTTCAACAGCCCTCTGGCCAGCACATTCTATGGTATGAACTACAATAGATTAAAGATGGCTTGAATTCTCCAAAACAATTGAATTAATGGATTAGCCAAAATTCTTCCATTCATAAGTTGAAGGTGATGAATTACAGATAGTCTTCTATTTACAAACTATTTATTTAATAGCAAAATTACAACAGCACTAAAAAAAAGTGACTTATGACCGGTTTTCGCACTTGTGACCACTGCAGCATCCTCATGGTCACATGATCAAAATACGGATGCTTGGCAACTGGTTCATATTTCCAATGGTTGCAATGTCCTTGGGTGATGTGATTACCTTTTGTGACCTTCCGACAAGTAGTCAATGGGGAAGCCAGATTCAGTTAACAACCATGTTACTAACAACAACTGCAGTGATTCACTTAATAACTATGGCAAGAAAGGTCATAAAATGGGTCAAAACTCATACCCATCTCACTTAGCAACAGAAATTTTGAGCTTAATTGTGGTCTTAAGTTGAGGACTACCTGTATTAAATCTGTTTTAAATGCCAGATTAATAAGTACATTGCAAAGTAGAAATGTAACTCATAGATGGCAGCCAGAATATGGTCATACAAGTAACCCCACTAGAGAATCAGATTTGCTGTTAATGGAATACCTGGTGATAAATTTGACAGTGTGGAAGAAAACACAAACCTGAGCCACATTCCTCATCCACGAAGCCATATAGCGAGGGGAATTTTGGCACTAAAACAAACTGGGGGAAAAAAACCAACTAGCAATAAGATTCAGATGAGAAAAATGGAAGCATTTATTGCTTAATTCTAAACTCAGTCCCAGATTTCTTTTCTCTGCTCTGCACTGCCTATTACAATGTTTCTCAACTTTAGCAACAAAAGATTGGACAACCTTTTGTGTGAGATGATACAAGGTCTCCTGCCATGGGTAGGGGTTGGAGTAGAAGACCTCTAAAGTCCCTTCCAGCTATGATACTAAGACATGTGGACTTCAACTCTCAGAATTCCTAGGATAGAAGTCCACATGTCTTAAAGTTGCCATGGTTGAAAAACACCAGACTCCCTCTTCACCATTTGGAGGAAAACAAACTGTATGCGAGCGCGTGTGCAGTCTTGATAGGCCTGGAAAGAGCGGCAACGTAGCTAGGCAATTACTGCCCCTTTTTACCTCCCTCCTCTTGCCCACAGCTCACATAATTCCAGAACATCTGGATCATATTAAGCCAGGCTTACAGCCACAGGAATTTAAACCAGCTGCAGGAGCCCAGATTCTGCTTTCTTTGACATGCAGTAGGAGGAAGGAGGAAATACGTTGCATTTAAGGACGAGCTTCAAAATCTGAGCATCCTGAGGCAATTTGGAATAAACTGGCTAAGGTCTGGGTAACGGGAGAAAATTTTCATTTTTCCCCCCCCCTTTGGAATTGAGATTTGTGAATCATTGGAAAGGGACATGGGAAACGGCTGGATAACAGAGAGAAAGCTTATGGGATGCAGAATCTGGAGAGAGCAGAATTTAGCAGTTTGGGGAGACACAGTGGAATTAATATTGGTTGGGAATACTGGTTCCAAGTTGGTTTAACCAGCCACGAGGAAGGAAACGGGTAAGCTTAATCTATGTTTTTCTTCTCTCCATTCAGCTTTCAGGATGAGTTTCCTTCTTTTTGCGGTCACAGCCCTCCACGTTCTTATCCTCATCTTACTCTTTGTAGCCACCTTGGATAAGGTAAGCAAGAACTGAAAATTTTCAGTGTTTAATCTGCAGGTTTAATGTTTGTTTGACAGCTGCTTAGCTAGTTCTACATTCCCTACCCTTCTCTGCCCAGTTCTGTTAGCTACTATTCTCAGAATTACCTAGCCATCTGGACTTCGCAAGGGGTGCTACATGATTTAGTAAGCTCAACTGTAGAGACAATTTTATCTGACTCTTTGATGAGGTACCAGGTTTTAATCAAGGATAGTAAATAATTTTGCTCAGCATTTCACTTGGAAGAAAAAAAAACATAGCTATCAGGCAGGAAGAGTCAGGATCACATGTTAAGTTGCAGTTAAGCTAATTTATTGCTCATACCTATACACAAGAATCTAGTCAACTAATGACCAGCACTAAACTGGCGCTGGATAAGAGTCAACAGAATTCAAGGAGAGTTGGATTGCTTGTGGGAATGAAAGGACTCCAGACTGATTGCTTCCTTGACTCCACCTCTCCCTAAGTCCCACCTTTTCTTCTACATTAACAAGCCATTCTAACCTCCTTCTATATTTTAGTATGTAACCATCACCTATTTATCCAGGTGATAAAATATTTACTGCTGGGATGAAGGTTTTACACATATAGTAACGTGGGTTGGAATAAAGGAAAAAAAATGCTGAACAACTTACTTCTACCCATCATCACTATCTGTTGCTGAAAAAATAATGATAAAAATGAAGGACGCATTGACGTAGTTGGCTTGATCTCTCACCTTTTGCAATAGAAGTTTGATCACCATCAAACAACCAGTTATGTGGGTAACAAGGCTGGTATGAAGAGAAGAGAAGAAGTTTTCCGTTCAGAAAAATAAGAAATTAATCTGCCTTGGTTTAAGAGCTAAAGATGAGGGGAAGGCTATGTCATCTGGTTGTTTTCTTCAAGATTGGCTAGCCAAAGACTTTGAACCAAAGTTAAAAGCAGTTAAAGGACATTCAGATGTGCTCCAGATGATCTTGGCTTCTACAGATTTACTCATCTCTCTGTTAAGAATAATAAGATATATTCATAAGCTAAATATGTGTGAAGGATTCACATAAACTGATCTGAAGAGAATCCCTTGAAAATGCCAGCCACAGTTTTTTTATTCAAAATAATTGCTCCTCAGATGTCAAGAGTAAAGCCTAAGAAAAGGCCATAGACACTTCAAAGGCTCCGGATGGCATTATATTTCTGCCTGAAATTCTTCTTGCTCCTTGCATTTCTAATTGGTCTTTGTTTCTCCCCCAAAGCAGAGTTATTTACACATCTGTAAACATACTTATGCACACCCTTTATGTTTTGGAAGAGCCCTCTTAAAAGGTAAACAAAAATGTATTTGGGAAATGAGCACCAGCTAAAACTCTGATGGGGAATATAACACAACCTGAAAAACCTTTATGGGCTTGATTTTTTTAGCTTAAAGTATTGTACGTTTTCTTTTTCCTCCTTTAAATTTAAAACAGATTTCTTTAAATAAAAGATTGTCTTATTCTGCTTTATACTGATCCCAAAGGAAATGTCTCTATCTGCATATTTTGTTAGTCTGACAACTAGTTTTGGGAAGATTATTGATATTAACCCCCTCCGATTTAAGATGGTTTTGTGTGTATGTGTGTCTGTTTTGAATGATGAATTGTCAGTGGCAGCATTTTGAACCTCTGCTGGGGAAAGAGACAGATTTGAACAAACAAATCTGTGTCTCTTTCCTTGCTTCAGGAATCTCTGACAAACCCTTCAGGATTAGTAGTTTGTTGATTAAAAAAAATCACAGAACCATGCCTATTAACACAGGAAAAGGCTGGGTTGCAACCATGAATCCTGTTTCCACTTTGAAAAATTTGTACATATGACCTGTTTAACTCATTAATAATTTTAACTTGAATAAGGAATCTGTACCTTTCCAACAAAATAAAATAAGCCAAAATTACCACACAGCTGAATTCCTCAAGACAGTGTTTTTCAACTTTGGCAACTTGAAGGTGGGTGAACATTAATTCCCAGAATTCACCAGTTACCAATTTGGCTGGGGAGTTTTGGGAGTTGAAGTCCGCACATCTTAAAATTGCAAGGTTGAGAAACCCTGCCTTAAAATGTTTGTGTTTGAGACATTTAATGGATACATTACATTGTGTCCCCTGTTGTTTCACTTGGAGTGAAAGTAATTTTGCAAGAGATTTGTTTTAACTCTTTTGTTTATTTCTCCCTGTGCAACTTTTCCTTTTTGCTGCTCTCCAAACTTGATCCTTTAATAGTAGATTAGGGTTTCCACCAGTTACACCTTCAGGAGGCCTAAATACAGATAGTCCTCGACTTATCACCACAATTGAGACCAAAATTTCCATCGCTAAGCAAGACAGTTGTTAAGTCGGTTTTGTCCCATTTTACGGCCTTTCTTGCCACAGTTGTTAAGTGAATCACTGCAGATGTTAAGTTGGTAACACAGTTGTTAAGTGAATCTGGCTTCCCCATTGACTTTGTTGGTCAGGTCACAAAAGGGGATCCTACAACCTCAGACCATGCAACTGTCATAAACACAAGCCAGTTGCCAACTACCCCAATTTTAATAACGTGACTATGGGAATATTATAACAGTCGTAAGTGTGAAAAAAGATCATAAATAACCTTTTTCAGTACTGTTGTACTTAGAATGATCACCAAACAAATGTTTACAAGTTGAGGACTAATCGTTTTCCTTTCCCACCTGGCCACAGTGGAAAAGAAGAAAAGTCACCTGTTGGATTTCTGCCTATGTTTCGCCAAAGGGATGCTCTCAGTGCTCTATCCTGTGCTCATAAGGTACAAGGGATGCCGTATGGGCATAAATCAGTTTTTTTCAATGCCGTTGTAACTTTGAACAGTCACTAAAGTATTGGTCATAAGTTGAGGATTACTTGAATAGGTAGTTCTCAACTTACAACAGTTCAACCATTCAAAGTTACAATGGCACTGGAAAAAGTGACATGACCATTTTTCACACCTTTGTAGCATCCCCATGGTCACCTGATTTACCTTTGGACGCTTGACAACTGACTCACATTTATGACGGTTGCAGTATCCCATGGTCATGCGACCATCCTTTGCTACTTTCTAACAGGCAAACTCAACGGGGAAACCAGATTCTCTTAACCTCCATGGTACCAATTTAAGAACTGCAGTGATGAAATGTGGTGAGAAAAAAAATCATAAAATGGGGGTAAACTCACTTAATGCATTTGTTACTTAACAACATAAATTTTGGGCTCAATTGTGGTTGTACATCGAGGACTACCTGTCTATGACATCTTTTTTAAAAAAATCAAAAGTTTTAGTGTCCACTAAGAGAAGAAAACGAAGGAATAGAGTGAGGGGACAGAATGGGCCCATACCAGGAAAGAAGAACTGAGATTTGGAGAAGTTATAATGGGTTCAGGAATCTGTAGTTTTCCAGAGCTTGGCAGGATCACTACCAGACTGCACACAAAACCAATTACAGAAGAAAAGCTTGAAGAGAAAAAGTTGTGGAAAAATATTTGGAAAGCTGGAATGTTTTCAAATGCTTCTTGTTCCATTGGATATATTTTCCCTCCCTGATTGCAGAGGAGGGAGAAACAAATTTTACAATTACAGTTCAGGGGGTCCTAATTATGATCGTAATGGAGCTTGTCCGCCTTGATTGTAGCTCATGATAGTCATAAAATGGGCCAGTCATAGGACAGAGTCCATTTTACAATCTTTTTCGTAGCAATCATTAAGTGAAGCCCCATGGTCGTTAAATGAATGGACGGGTTTTTTTTTAAATAATATCAGAAGCATTGATTTTGGGTGAAACTGTTATAAAGGGAAGTCATGTAACCATGGAAAATGCGAATATTTCTGAATGCAGTTGTGTTGCTAAGTACTTGAAGTTTGGTCATACAGTAATGAGGAGAGGGGCGACCGTCAGAACTTTGAATCCAGGTCATAATAGTATCAAAGTAGGACTATTTGAACTTTGATTGGTTGCTAAGAGATCAATCATAAATTTGAAGACTGCCTGTATAATATGCAATTGAATTTCAAGAATTCATTCATTCATTCATTCAGAGGTGGTCTTCAGCAGGTTCTGACCAGTTCTGGAGAACCAGTAGCGGAAATTTTAAGTAGTTCGCAGAACCAGCAAATACCACCTTTGACTGGTCCCAGCCCCCCCTGCCCCCCCCCCAATCTATTCTCTGCTTCCTGAGTCCCAGCAGATCGGCTGGGTCTTCTTTTGTTGCCCTGCACAGGAGAACGGAGCTGGAAAGCAGGTTAGTGGGGTGGGGAGGGAATGTGGATTTTATTGTAACCTTCCTCCTGGGGTGGGGAGGGAATAGGGATTTTATAGTATCCTTCCTCTGCCACGCCCGCCAAGCCATGCCAACCAAGCCATGCCCACAGAACCGGTAGCAAAAAAATTTGAGTCCCACCGCTGCATTCATTCATTTATTCTGCCTATCTATCTATAGAAGCAACCTGGAATAAAGGAGAAGCTTTCTACCAGTGAGAACAATTGATTAGTGGAACAACTTGCCTTTAAAGTTGTTGGTGCTCCATCACTGGAGGTCTTTAAGAAGAGACTGGATAGCCACTTCTGGAATGGTATAGGGTCTCCTGCTGGCATTGCAAAAATGAGATTTTATTTGGATTCCCCAACCAGTTATGGGTTGAAGGCAGTTTATTAACACTCATTCTCCCATTTGGAAAGGTGACCCTCTTTGGCTTCATCTTTTCTGTCCTAACTTTTCTGTCTTTGGTTTTTTTTTTTTTTTTTGTTTGTCCTAGTCATGGTGGGTTCTGCCTAACAGTGAATCAGTGAACATCTGGAATGAATGTCTGATGGATAATCAACACCAGAATTGGACTTGTCACCCGGTGTCTGACAGTAGTGAGTATAAATTGAGTTTTGTGGAAATGGCGCAGGATGAGCTGTGTCAAATGTCAGGGAAATCAGGAGATTTAGGCAGTTCAAACGTGTATAAAAATCTATTGCAAGCTTAAGCTCTCTGCAAGAATCTGAGCTACTAAAAGTCAAGGGAAATGAGCGAGAATCTATTCAAGATGGGCTGGACTTAGATCTCTTATGGGCATGCAGAGACTCAAGACTTATGATGTGTTTAACCCCTCCCTCGCACACAGCCTGATCATTTCCGAAAATCTGCAGGAAAGGACCAAACTTGGCAAGAGGGTGGAGAGAAGGTTGTATGGTATGGTTGTGTGATTTTCACTATTCTGCTTCAAGATAGAGAGCATTTATGGAGCCTTTCACAAACCAGGTGCTCCTCAGCACCCAAAATTTCCCAGTAAATATGATTGAAATGCTTTAGCCATTTAGGCCGCTGGAAAATTTACTGGAGAGGGCCGATTGGTAAGGTCTGCTCTTAATGGTCTTTTCTCTTCAATGGTTTCTCTCCCCAGAGTGGCTTCATGGTGTCCAGGCATTCATGGTTTTAAGCCTTCTTTTCTCCAGTTTAGCCTTCATTATTTTCATGTGGCAGCTTTACACGATGAAGCGGGGAAGCCTGTTTTATGCCACGGGAATTTTCCAAATATTGACTGGTAAGAGTCCAATTTAATCATCATTTGGAGGCTGTAAAATCACAGTACAAGAGAGGTGGTAGCATCTACAAGGAAGAAATTGAGGCTAAGTTGTAGGGGAGCTGATATTTCCGTATGCAAAATGTAAATGGAAGCGGGCACTGCACAAATCAAAGTTTCTCAGCTGTAGCCATTTGAAGGTGTGTACACTTCAACTACCAGAATTCCCTAGCATGTTAAGGTCTAACTTAGTTGGAATGATTTGCAAAATGTTCAGCTATTTCATTGAAATCCCGGATGAATCTGGTTGTGTTCCATTTGCCCAAATTATTTTTTTAATATAAGGACCTTGCAAGCCCCAGTTAAGAAGTGGAGCTCAGGAGCGGCAAAGCTTGGCTCTTCAAATACCCTTTAGATGGGTGACTTTAAGATGGGTGGACTTCAACTCCCAGAATTCCCAAACCAAAGTTGCTGTCTGGGGAATTCTGGGAGTTGAAGTCCACCTGTCTTAAAGTTGTCAGGGTTAAGAAAGGCTGGTCCCAGCTATTCCAATCAGAATTACCAATAAGAAGTTGTAGTTTAAGATCTTCCCAAACATCATAAGTCTCTCCCCTGCCTCCATCCCTCCATTCTTCCCACTTAGCTCTCGTGCTCTGAATTCTTTGATCCTGGGATGCTTATTGCCGATCTGAATAGGCGGCTAGTAAGATTTTGCACTCTAGGAATTGTCTGTATAAATCGGAAAGATCTGATTATATTTTGGGTTGCTTGCTGAAAAAGAGGAAGCAAGATGGAGCTAAAACTTGATCCTAATTCACCTTTTATTGGTTTCTCCCCAGCTGTCTCAGTGTTCACAGCTGCCTTGATCTACACTATCCATGTGGACACGTTCCAGCAGGGCCGAATGCCTGGTGGCTCTTATGGTCATTGCTTCGTGCTAGCCTGGCTAGCTTTTCCCTTGGCCCTTGTCAGTGGGATTGTCTACATCCACCTCCGGAAAAAAGAGTGACTTGCAACAGAGGAACTTCTCCATTTATCTTGGAAAGAGACGTGTTCTCCTTTCAATTTAGCTATGCATTCATTCTTCGCAGTTTTTGAAATCACTCATGGCACAAAATTCTATGCAATGGGTAACTTGATCCGTGGAGGTTCTTGCATTATAACTACATGATTTTCATTTGCATACAGGTAGTCCTTGACCTATGACCAGAATTGAGCCCCAAATCTCAGTTGCTAAGTAAGACCATTTTTAAGTGAAAGGTGCCCCGTTTTATCAACTTTTTGCTATAGCTGTTAAGGAAATCACTGCAGTTGTTAAATGAACCATGTGGTCATTAAGGAAATCCGGCTTTCCTCATTGGCTTAGTTTTCCAGAAGCCAGTTGTGTAGCATCCAAATTTTGATCACATGGACATGGGGATGCTGCAGTGGTCATTAAGTGTGACAATTATTTTTCAGTGCTGTTGCAACTTCAAACATGTCAGTAAAGGAAAGGTTGTAAGTCAAGGACTACCTGTATTTGTATATACCTCCCATGATATGGGAAGTTAAAGTTGTGCCACCATACAGTGGGCATTTCTTTAGTCTTTGAGAGGTTGCCATGAATTAAATACATTAATATTTTGCTGGCAAAATGATATGACATCATGCCATCCTATCGGCCTATTTTCCTAATATGGATAAATGTTTGCTTCTTCTTTTTGTAATTACGTACATGTAGATTGTAGCCACTTTTTACTTTTGCAAATGAGGGAACTATATCCCTCCTGTAGTGTTTCTTTTAAATGAATAATCTTCCTTTTTGATAACCTGAAGTATGGCAGACAATTCCCCCACCATTTTTTAAATAGAAACCAATTTTTATTTGAAATATACATTTTAATGGAAAAACATGGAGATGCATTGGTAGTATAGATATAAAATATATTTCTTTTTTTTTTTTTTGCAGATGGAAGGCAAATACAGTGTAAAAGGATTCTCGTGGGGGGTTTAAAAACATTTTAAAATGGAGTTTAAATAAGAATCTGTTTTATAACATGTTGGTTTTATTGCAGATTTTTCTGTCTTCACGTTTGTCTCTTGGGACCTAAAATGCAGCGTGGATAAAATACCTATTACAATGCAGTTGAAAAATCACTGAGCTTTTGAAAGTTTGAAGAACAGGTCACGGGAATCTGTGCTTGTTGCTTGTTCTGAAAAAAATTTCCTTTAAAAAGTGTCCTCTTATTATTTTAAAAATAGGAGCATTATGGGAGAGGTTAAAAAAAGTCAAAATGGCGGCCAAACTATGCAACTGATCCTGCCTTTTGTATGCAACACATATATAAAATTAGTGAGCTTCAGTTATGCACTTGCTATTGTTCAGCCATTTCTACTTTTTTTTTAACCTCTATTCCCACATATTAGCTTCATCCCTTTCTTTGGAATGCTTCCCATTCAGAATATTCTACTTAGGAAAAGTCGATTGGGAAAATAATTACTTTTAAACAGATCTGTGGGATAAAAAGTTTGGTCAGTGGGATATTGATTATTCTGCATCTGAAATCTTTGTTTCTATTTCTTAACCTCCAGATTTCTTTATTGTATAGGTAATCCTCATTTGGCACCTAAAACAGACTGACAATTCAGTCATTAAGCAAAACGGTCGCTAAATGAAAACACAACTTTCTTCAACTTCCCTTTGCTTTGAAGACCTGTAAAGGTCATAAATATGAGAACCTATTGTCACTATATGAGACGATCACTAAACAAGGACTACCTTTAACTTTCAGTAACTTCATTCAGTGAGTTACAACCAATTGTAACTCCCTGTTCAGTAGATCTACATTGGCAATAGTATTTGTCCCAGGGGTGGATGTTATCGGTTCTGCCCAGCTCTATAGAACCAGTAGCTCTGAAGAGCAGCAGACACCGAACCAGTTCTGTGTTTGCTACTGTTTGGCCCACCCACATGCTCTCCCTCTTATCTGTCCTTTATTTCCTGCTTTTTCAACCTCAGCTGCTTTGTGTGGCACAGCTGAGGTTGAAAGCAGGAAAAAATGGCTTTTCAAATGCTGCGCACCTGCTCACAGCGCTTTTCAGCTGTCCAGGCGGCACAGCTAAAGATTTTTTTACACGTACGGAAAACATAGTCACCAAACCGGTAGTAACACCGGTTGAATCCCATCATTGATTTGTTTCCACCCACACTAAAATATTTCAGGTTTGTGTTCTAGCATTTTCCAAACGTATCTCCCTTTATTCTCAACCTCCTGGTTGAAAATTGTAGGGACTGTACACTGCATATCCAAAAACCGTAAGTTTAGAGAATATTCACAGAATTATGAGGAATGTTCACAAAATTATGCCTATGTACCATCTTACTTCAACAGGTTTGGTCTTCCTTCAACTTGATTGCTAGTCCCAAAATTGATGTCGCCTTTTGTCTTCTTCCAATGGCTTTTATATTTTATATGTATTTTAGAAATTAAAAAGGAACAAAAAGACTTCTCAGAGCTGTTATTTTCCTTCTTTGGGGTGGCAAATGCTTTATACGCCAATTCTCCTAGCTTTCACAAGGGAAGTTCATATTTAGAGAGGAGACCATGAAAGGTTATGATTCAGGTAGCTCTTTTTTAGCCAACGCAATGTGACCATCTTCATCACTAAGTGATGCGGTCAGTCAGCATAAAAAATAATGTGACCATGATGGGCTTATAATGTTACTTCTGTTTGATTAAGTGAATCACAATGGCTGTAAAGTAAGGTGTCATATGACTGCAATTTCAGATTAAAAGAGTTGGAAGGGACCTTATAAGGTCATTGAGTCCAACCCCCACCCCCAGCAGTAGATCCTACACCCTTTCTGACAAATGGCAGTCCAACCTCTTTTTGAAAGCCCCCAATGATGAAGCTCCCGCAACTTCCGAGGCCAAGCTGTTCCGTTGGTTGATTGTTCTCACTGTCAGAAAGTTTCTCCTTGTTTCCAGGTTAAATCTCTCCTTGTTCAGTTTCCATCCATTATTCCTTGTCTGACCTATAGGAGCTTTAGAAAATAGCCTGACCCCTTCCTCTCTGTGGCAGCCCCTCAAATATTGGAAGACCGCTATCATGTCTCCCCTGGTCCTTCTCTTCACTAGACTAGCCATGCCCAGTTCCTGCAACCATTGATCATATGTTGTGGCCATCAGTCCCCTAATCATCCTGGTTGCTCTTCTCTGCACTCTTTCTAGAGCCTCAACATCTTTATATTGTGGTAACCAAAACTGGATGCAGTATTCTGGGTGGGGTCTTACTAAGGCTTTATAGAGTGGTATTAGTACTTCACTTGATTGCATCCCTCTGTTCATGCAATTTAGGATTTCATTGGCTTTTTTAGCTGCCACCGCACACTGTTGCTCATATTTCACTGGTTGTCCACTAAGACTCCAAGATCCCTCTCACACTTAGTGATATTAACTATTTCCATGTGCAGAAGCCAGTTGTGAAGCACATGAATAGCGTTCATTCAACTCTGGGATGCTGTGGCAGCCATAAATGTGCACTGGTTGCGAAGTGCCTGAATGGTGATCGTATGATTGGGATGCTGCGCTGGTTGTGCTACAGAATTTGTGTCAAAAAACAAGCTTTGTTCTAGCTTTGACATTGCATGAGGCAGTCAGTAAGCGAGGACTACCTGTAGCAAATTGCAACTTAAATATAATCCACAGAGCTAGTATCAAGATCAGCCACAATCCACACTGGAGCTGTTCATTCACTGCCTTACAATCTTAACTGGAAAGCTACAGGTAGTCCTTGATTTACGACCCCAATTGATCCCAAACTGTTAAGTGAAACATTAGTTAAGTGAGTTTTGCCCCATTTTATGACCTTTCTTGCCACAGGTGTTAAGTGAATCACTGTAGATGATAATTTAGATATTAAATGAATCTGGCTTCCCCATTGACTTTGCTTGTCAGAAAATCACTAAAGATAATCAGATAACCCCGGGACACAGCAATGGTCATAAATATGAACTGTCACAACTCACATTTTTCAGTGCCATCGTAGCTTTGAACTGTCACTAAATGGACTTTTTATTTACAGGAAGTCCTCAACTTACAGCTGTTCATTTAGTGACTGTTTGTAGTTACAACATTGAAAGAAGTGATTTATGACAACTTTTCACAATGACTATTGCATCCCATGGTCACGTGATCAAAATTTGGATGCTTGGCAACTGGCATGTATTTTTTGACAGTTGCAGTGTCCCGGGGTCATCGGATCACTTTTTGCAACCTTCTGACAAGCAAAGGGGAAGTCAGATTCACTTAACAACCATATTACTAACAACTGCAGTGATTCACTTAGCAACTATGGCAAGAAAAGTCATACAATGGGTTAACGTTCACTTAATCACAGTCCCACTTAGTAACAGGAATTTCGGGCTCCGTTGTGGTCACAAGTCAAGGACTATCTATATTGTGGCATTTGAACATTTAAGCTACTCACAAACTTCCCAAGAACCCTATTATTTTCGTAGATGAGATCCGAGCGGTCTTGACTGGTTGGTCCTAGGCTCCCTTATTCACTTTGCACATGTGGGGTTTAAAATTGGGACGAACTGCTTTTGGTCTGCCTGTGCGGCATAACTACTGGACCGTCTGCTTCTCTGACAAAGTAACCTACTCCCATCCATATTAGGCAAAAGTGCAGGCAGCTTTAAGTCCACGGAGGATGCTAATTTGCCATCTGGCAAAGCACAGATCTGTGCCTGGGAATGAATAAATATTTAATCTTGTTGAGATCTGAAGAATCTATCTGCTGCCAAACACAAATAGGAGTTGCCTTTTTGTAAAAACACAAGCAATCTTAGGAATAATAAGAGCCCAGACTTAACAAAAAGATTGCACTAAAAAGAGGAGTTAGTAAATTGGAGGTTTCTGCAAAGGACAAATGGTTGCTGGCTACTGTAGACTATTAACCCTTTGGAAGGCATGCTTGGAGCATTCAGTGCAATTGCTGGAGTTTTTAAGTCACTGTTTTTTAAATTTAGCAACTTTTTAAGATGTGCAGACTTCCAATACCAGAATTCCCATGCTAGCTGGAGAATTCTGGGAATTGAAGTCCACATCTTAAAAGTTATTGTCTTTGAAAAACATTGTTTTAAATAAGGAGGCATTAATACCATAACCATAATAGCTATGGTTTATTCTGTGTTAGGATTTTCAATCCTAACTAGTTTCTCAATGCAAAAATATGTTACTATCATTAATCACAATTTGGGAAAATAGTTGAGATAAAAATATTGCCTGACCAACATGGCCAAGTTGCCTCCATTTTATATCTACTATAAAGAAAGCTGAGGTTGGGCGTCTTATCACAAGATTTAAGTTACACGAGATTATTTTATCACAAGATTTAAGTTAAGTTACAGATTTAAGTTACAGATCTAGGCCTGGGATAGATCTGATAGCAGTGCTTGTGGTTTCCCTCACATTGTACACTATGATTTTAAAGTTTCTTGGCAACAATATGGCTAGTTTTGCTATCACCTCAGATGTTTTTTTCAACTATCCAGTCTATAGCTCTGAAATCTTGTAGACTCCCATCCAAGTGCTTATCAGGAATCTCCCTGTTTACCTTTTCACAGTGAGCAATATATTCATAAATACAAACACATTTCCAAAGGGTGATTTTAGACTTTCCTTTTTATTAATTTTTTTAAATCTAATAATTCCATCTCTAATTGAACAGTGTGTCATCTGGGTACAAATATTCTAGTTGAACAATAATCAAAATTTACAACACCATTCATTACATTAGGATTAATCCTACAATGTTAAAATAATATTTATACTAATCATATTTGCCTATCTCTTTTAACATATCTTTGTTTCCTTTTTCTAACTTCCATTTTTATTATTTAACCATTGATAAAATAAATCCCATGTCGTATAATATTCAGTTTACTCTTTCTCCTTAATTGCAAGCATTACTCTTTTAAATTCTGCACATTCTAATATTTTCCTAATCACATTCTCATCTGTGGGTATCTTCATTCTTCCAGCTTTGTGCAAATACAATTCTAGCAACAGTTAATATATGAATAATTAAATATGCATTTCCCTTAGTAGATTTTTCAGCTAAAATCCCCTACATATTCTGGCTTTAAATCAATATGCTGCTTTATCATTTTTCCATCCACATATGTATTTTTGTCCAGTATATTTTGTCCACCACATTTGATAATATGACCCAGGTATCTTGGGTGATTTTAGATTTTCTTATTCTATGGCTTGGGACAAATTAATTCAATACAAGAAAAGGACAAGTGAAGAGTGATTTGAAACAGTGGGGGAAATATTGGGAGGCAAGTAGAGAAAACTAGAAATAGAAAGATTCTGCGAGAAGTAAGAATAGGAATTGACAAACTTAAAAATATATTATGGTTTTTGCATATTTGGAGAGATGTCCCCATATATTCTGCAATAGTGGATATTGGAAAAAAAGCAAATTTCACTGGTGGCATCAAAGCACAATGTAAGGTACACACGTCTAAGGAGTCTGGAGGCAGCTCATCTTGATCCGTCCTTTATTACATCTGTACAAATTGATTCATCCCTCTCTCTTTAAAAAAAAAATCTATTGAGCCAAACTTAAGCAGGGCATGGAAAGTTTTCAACATGGTTGGAACTGCAAACAGCTGCTAAACAAGACAGTCATTGAACAAGAAAGGCAGAGTTATTACTTTGAAATCAACCACTGTTTTGCCCCAATGTCCAATTCTTATATAGTATCTAATAAGGATATTATTGGTGGCTGAGTGCCTGCCAACCCAAATCAAAAATAAACTGGTCTGACTATGACAGTTATATGGACCACCACAAGACACCATGTGACCAGCTGCATCTTTATTGAGAGTCTTTAGACATGGGTAGCCAGGTGTTATTCTGATTTTTAAACCCTCTACCCCAGGAATTAAACTCACCATCATGCTTTAGATGACAACATACAGTCCATTTGTTTTTACAAGCACTTCAGGTCCTGATGCTCGGTGGTAACTAGAAATGGCATATCTACCCTTGAACTCTCAGAGACATTATCTATACCAAAGTACATCTACGTCAGGGTTGTCAAACTCAAGGTCCATGGGTCAGATCCGGCCCATGGGGGTGCTTAGATCTGGCCCGTGGTGCCTCTGCCAGTGAAAACAGAGCTTTCCCCTTTTGCATTTGAGCATGTAAGAAGGGACAGGAAAGGAGAAAGAGAAAAGAAAAAGGAAAGATGGGAAGAGGGCAAGAGAAGAAAAAGAACGAAAGAGAGGAAGGAAGGAAGGAAGAAAGAATGAAGAGAAAAGGAAAAAGAAAAAAAAAGAAAGAATGGAGGGAGATTATAATGAGAGTGAGGGAGGATCTTAGGGAAGGCTGGCCTTAGCACTTGGCCACCTCATTTGCCCTCAACACGAACCCCTTGTCATGCCCACCCTGGCCGTGCCCACCCTGACTTCCAAGGTCAAACACTACCCTGATATGGCCCTCAATGAAATCAAATTTGACACCCCTGGTATATGCCATTCAGACATGTACCTACAACAGGTTACAGTTAATCCTTGACTTACAACTATTCATTTAGTGACTGATCAAATTTAAAATGGCACTGATAAAAGTGACTTATGACTAGGCCTCACGCTTAGGACCACTGCAGAATCCCCACAATCGTATGAACACAATTTGGCAACAGCATGCATTTACAATGGTTGCAATGTCCCGGGATCATGTAACTTCCATTTTTGACTTGCCCAGTCAGCTTCTAACAAAATCAATGGGAGAAGCCAGATTTGCTTAATCACTACATGATTCGTATAGCAACTACAGTGATTTGTTTAACAAGTGCGGCAAAAAAAAGATTGTAACCACATTTTCCCAAAATTCCAAATTCTGGGAACTTCAGCAAACTAGAACTGAAGAAGCTTCTTGGACGAGGAGTAAAACATCTTCAAGGAACAACAAAGTACAGTTGTCTTCTGAAAAAGCACCTTTGGGTTTAGTAAACCATACAAAACCAAGAGAGAGAAATGCAGTGAGGCACAAAAAAAGTTTACTGCTCACAAGAAAGAGCCCTTTCTATATTTCCCATGAATTATGCTGGCGTTCCCACTGGATGGAAGCGGATAATCTGATTCTGTGATTAGCATGATAAGCTCAGGCTTAAAGCCAAACCAAAGCCATCTGCTCTGAAGCTTTCTCCTATCACCATCCAGATAGGTATCACCCTGGAAATCATTTCAGTCAGTATTTTGACGCAGGTAACTAAACAGCCGTACTGATCTCCTTGAAGGATCCCAAGTGAACAGCGTGGAAAATGTTCTCAACCAAACCAGTATACAACAATGTGTTTACTATTGGATCTTTTGACACCAGAGGAATATTTTTAAACAGCATTTCTCTCACTCATCTTGAGGCAAAACAAATTGTCTATGACTGATCTTTCAATAGGAACTAGAGAAATTTGGATTGCTGCTCTTGCTGCTACTGTCATAATCTCACTTGTGTGGACAGAATACAGATCTGACACATGTTTCTCTCTGGCAACTCCCCAAAGAATACATAGGCTTTCTCAAGACGAAGGAAAACAGGAAAGAGAAAAGGGAGAGGACTCATGTCTTCCAGCTAGCAGTGGACAAGGCTGCACCTGTTCCAAAAACACTCTTTAGAATAAAGTACATGCACACATGCATTGAAATACACCAGCTATCAATCCATATACAAAAGTCAATGTGCAGGGAGTCATCATAAGGGTAGAATGAGAACAGATTCACATGAAGTAAAAATGCTCCAATTCATGCACTCAATTTGATAAGATAACATGCTATCAAGTTATTGTCAATTCTTAGTGACCGCATAGATTTTTCCCATGACAATCTCTTTATGGTCTTCCAGCAATGCACCCACTGGCCCCATAACAGAATTCCTTAGCTATGTGCAAATTCCCAGACTTCAAATTTGAAGAGCAAATATTTATGTTTCAGTGTAAAAATTACTGCACCGAGAGGAAGCGGGATCTGTTCTTCCAGTAACTCAGAACTTACCTGTTGGATTTTTCCCCCCCTCCACAGATAACCTAAATTTGCTATTTTGTTCAGGACCACACAGGATGGAAAGCATGAATCTCTGCCACCTTTGTAAAACTGGCAGGAAAAAAAAAATTAAAGCAGGGAAGCCTAGCGGGCGATACGGCTTGGCATTAAGTGTATACTGTACAATTCAAAGTGCCATAGAAGTGATTTAATGTATTTTTTCAGGAATGCCCCCAGCAGGCTAGCACATGATATTAAAAACTCATCTCGCCCTAAATGCAAAAGAGACTCACTGCTTTGCACAGTGCTCATTTTATATGTAAACTGCTTCCACTCGTTCCTTGGGGGAAGAAAAATAAACAGCTCAAAGGAAAAACAACAACAGTGTGCCTAATAAAAATTGCTGCTATTTTAAAAGCAAGAAAGCTCCTCTCTGCAAAGAAGAGAATTTGAGGTGCATTATGGCTTTGTATAATGAGGTCTAAGGTTGTACTCCAAATAGTATTTTCATACCATGCAAATGTTAATATTACAGCACGTTTTCCATGGGATATCTGAAAGAAAATCTGGTGCTAAAAGGAAGCACATCTCAGGAGCTGACATCCAATAGCTTCTAAGGATCCATGTGGCACAAATAATTACACCACAGGGCACGGTTCCCTTAAACCTTTGGAAAAAATAAGGTTTGCATCCTCTTGCCTTCAAAACCTGGCATGCCCAATACCATAGGGACAATGCTGATTTAGAGCCCCAAACACCAATTAAAACAATCCTAGGAAGCTCTTATCCAATGACAGGATGGGCTGCTCCCTTCACTTCCAATTCCTTGAGATGCTGGCAGGCACGTTCGGCACAGAAGTTAATTTCCAGCCCGGAGCGCAGGTGCAGCCAAGCCTCAACTTGCTTCCTCAGGTGTTCAACAGTGTTGGAGTCTACAAACGCAAAGAGATGAATCAGAGACCCTACTGGAACTAAAAGCGATTCTCAGAGAAGGGACCCCTTTGCCTCCTGGCACCCCTATTCCAGCCCAAGGAATCAAAGCCTAGACCGGTGATGGCGAACCTGTGGCAAGCGTGCCACAGGTGGCATGCAGAGCCATTTGTGCCAGCATGTGAGCTGCAGGCAAACTTACCTCACTGCGCATGTGCAGCTGATTTTACAGCTGATTTTCGGCCCGTTTGAGGCCTTTTTCCCAAAGGCTCAAGAAAGGCTTCTGCAGGCTTCTACAAGCTTTGTAGTCCGAAATCTAGCCCCATTTTGTCACTTCCTGTATTTTCAGAAAAACAGGAAGTGACCAAACGGGGCTAGATTTCAGCCTGCAAAGCTTGTAGAAGCCTGCAGAAGCCTTCCTCGAGCCTTTGGGAGGCCAAAAATCAGCTGTGAGGCACAGTGCAGGTAAGGGAGTGGCAGGGATGGGTGGGAGTGCGCCCGCATGTGTAGGGGACGGGGGGGGGGGGGACGCATTGCCTTCTGAGTGCTGGCACGAGTGCAAGCGCGCACTCAATTTTTGGCACATGAGCCCCAAAAGGTCAGCCATCACTGCTCTAGACTATACCTGTTCCCACCCTTGTCTCCTTTGGCAAGGGCTGCTGCTGTTGCTGGTAGTACTGTAAGAGGAAACTGTGTGCCAAGATGACTTCCTTGGCATGCTCCTCCTGGGCCCGCAGAGTGAGGGCATCCAAAAGCTCCGAGTTATTGGAGGTGCTGCGGTAGTACAGCATATGCACCAGCTCAAGAGAGTGGATGTTCCTTCGCTGGCCAAAGACCTATGAAAAGAATGCAGAATGTAGTAGTCCTTGATTTACAGCAATTCATTTAGTGATTGTTCAGTTACAACGGCACTGAAAAAAGTGAGCTATGGCCATTTTTCACCCTTATGACCATTACAGCATCTCCATGGCCACATGATCAAAATTCAGATGCTTGGCAACTGACTCATATGTATGACAGTTGCAGGATCTGGGGTCAGGTGTTGAGTCAACGAGAAGCTGGATTCACACTTAACAATTGTGTTACTAATTTAATAATGGCAGATTCACTTAAATGTGGCAGGAAAGGGGGGCAAATTCACATCACCAGACTTTCACTTAGCAACAAAAATCTGGGGCTCAGTTATGGCAGTAAGTTGAGGACTATATTAGTAAACCCTTAGTAAGGCCACCACCTGGTATACTGCATCCAGTTTTGGTTACCACGTTACAAAAAACATGCTGAGACTTTGGAAGAAGTACAGAGAAGAGCAACAAAGATGAATAAAGGCCTGGAGACTAAAACATATGAAGAACGGTTGCAGGATTTGGGTTTGCTAGTCTAGAGAAAACAGAGGACATGATTCCAGTATTTGAGAGGCTGCCACAAAGAAGAGGGGGGTCTATTTATTTTCCAAAGCATCAGAGGGCAGGACAAACAACAATGGATGGAAACTAATCAGGGACAGGAGCAACCCGGAATTACGGAGAAACTTCCTAACAGTGAGGACGATTAACCAGAAACCAGATTGCCTTCGGAAGCTTCATCACTGGAGGTTTTTAAGAAGGGGCTGGGCAGTCCCTTGTCTGAAATGGTATAGGGTCTCCTCCTTGAGCAGGGAGGGGTGGACTAGAAGACCTCCAAGGTCTCTTCCACCTGTGTTCTGATTCTGTATTTGAATCCTTGGGTCATCAAGTGTGGGGGAGGGGAGGGTCACATGCGTGAGAGACGTAGCAAAATGCAAACTGAGATCCTGGCCTCTTAGAGGAAGTATACCTGAGCACACAGGCCCCTTTATGTAACATAATGGCAACAAAACCAAATAGTTATGATATGCTAGTAAAATGTCTATGAATATTTCCAATATGGAAGTGGCATACAGTTGGGGCGTTCCCTTTGAGTGGCCTCTCTTTACTGCTGAAATTAAGGGATAAGAATGGAGAAAATAACTGGCATTGTTTTCTGCCGGCGAAGCGGGAACCACAGCAATTATTACAAATTCTAACAAATTTAAGACACAGAGAAATCTCAGCCTGCTGCTTCCTTCAACAAAGTCCTGTAAAAAAAAAAAAAAGCAGGAAAATCCTAGCCCTAACCAAGGCAGGACACTGTCTCCTTTGCATTTATCCGCCTTCACCGTGCAACACTTCTGCTACCCCCAAAATTAAATGCAGCTTAAGCTCTCAAAAGATTACCTACCCCTGCATCAAAAGGATTTTCCCGCTATCAGTTTCCCCCCCAAGCAAACCTTAACCGCAAGATCTGGACTCGCTTCCCAGATACTTATTCAAAGAAAACCAAAATGTCTGCAGGAAGACATAAATCTTCCTTCTACAGGAAGTTAAAGACCTCCTCTCTCAGAGCTGTCTCTTTGGCAGCAGCTTTCCACATACTGAAAAAGACCTTTTTTTTCCCCCAGCCGTGCCACATGAGATTCCTCTAAGCAGAAGACATGTGTGTGTTCTGCCATAAAGTTCTTGACAGCTGTATGGGATAGAGGCCAAGCTGGCTTCCTGCCCTAGAAGAACCTCAATTAAATTAAGCTTGCTCCTACGAGGATAATCATGCCTGTCCATCTCCCTAACCCAGAGCCCCCAAGAGCTCCTTAAAGAATTGCCCATGAATTATAATTGTTCATGTTACCGAAAGGGGAAAGTTATTAAAACATTATATTGCTGTGTTTAATTAATTTGGAGGTCTGAGCCTTTTTTTTGGCTCACCGCTGGAAACTTGGGAGACTGACTTACCTTCCAGGCCCGGAAGGCCATCAAGGCAGCAAAGAGGAAGAGCAGGGTGGTGGTGCCTATCTTGAGGTCGGACAGCACCACCATGCCCACATTCACAAAGAGGGCCAAGCCGCTCACAACCAGCATGGTGTTGAGCAGAGCTCTGTGGAAGATGGAGGTGCGGACTTTGACCAGGGGCAGCAGCTGCTCCAGTCCTTCCAAAGGGATGTCCTTAAAGCATTTCAGCACCAGATGGGAATTCTTGGTCCGAGCAGCCACTATAACTCGTTTGAAGTAATGCCTGGATGATTAGAAGAAAAAAAAGAGGAGGAACTGAAGAAAAGCGATGTTTAGGAAGTGAATACGGATCCTCCAGAGGTGGGCCAACGATTCATGGTCTGCCAGACTCCTAGACAGTACTGGCAGATTCCCCGCTCCCTCCTCAAAAAAGGCCGAGATCTTATGAGAAAAATGAAACACCCCAAATTCTGGTGTTTTTCCATATGAATCTATGAATGAAAGTTGTAATCTTCGGGTGGTCCTCAACTCACGCCCGCAATTGAACCCAACATTTATGTTGCTAAACAAAACATTTGTTACGAGAGTTTTGCCCCATTTTATGACTTTTCTGGCCACATCGCTGCAGTTGTTAAGTTAGTAACATGGTTGTTGAGTGAATCTAGCTTCCCCATGGACTTGGCTTGTCAGAGGGTTGCAAAAGGGGATCATGTGACCCTGGGACACTGCAACCTCCATAAACATGAGGCAGTTGCCAAGCCTCTGAATTTTGATCATATGACCATGGGGGGGATGCTGCAACAGTCATTAAAGTGTAAAAAATGGTGATAAGTCACTTTTTTCAGCGATGCTGTAACTCTGAATGGTCACTAAATTAACGGGTAGTCGAGGACTATGTGTAAAGTAATTTCATTGTCTTTGCATAAGATACTGGAGGTGAATGGGATAAAAAAAAGATGTCAATATTGGAAGGATTGTGTTTGGTTTTGTGGAGGAAAGGAATGCAATTAAGACACCTAAAAAGGATGCCAATCCCTGCCTTGATCAGCAACTTCACAGTTCCTCTCTCCCACCTCTCTACTTCCACGTCCAAAGCTCTAAATTCTACAAGATATTGTAAAAAGAATAAGTTGCTGGTCTCTTACTCTGGATTTTTTGAGAGGTGATCAATGCAATCACACATTAGGGTTAGGGTTAAGGTTAGGTTTGCTTCTAAGTTTGGAAAACTCTAGAGCAGGGGTGTCAAATTTGTGGCTTGCAGGCCGGATGTGTCATGCACTGGCCATGCCCGCGCCCGGTTTAACAAAGGGGGGGGGGAAATCATATGTCATGTGATAACACCATGATGACGTGAATTTGACACCCCTGCTCTAGAGTTAACCCAATTTTCGTGTTCTAGACAGTCATACTCTTCATCATTTTGCCACAATACCTTCAGGTCCACAGAAATGGAATGACTGCCTACACAGGATGGAAGGTGGATCACACGATGCACAGATCAAGGTCATGGGGACTCAGCAAGGCAGGATGGGGGAGGAAATGGGAGGTGGGATGCTGCAGCAGAGGTAATTTCGGGAGTGAATCGTACTACCTTAGGGAGGGGTGTTTTCACAATTTTGTTAAGTGACCAGTCAGAAGTCGAGGATTACCTGTATAAAAGCTGCCAATGCAGTCCAAGGAGCTTCACACATGTCGAAGCATGGGATATCTAGCAGAGCTGCAATATATGAGGGACCAGCTAGCATGGTAGCATGTTGACAGCGTGTTGATAGTGGAAGATTATATAGTAGACATGATAATTAAATCGCCTGCTACACATAGACATTCAGTGCAATAAAACGGATGAGGTCTTTGGGGCAGGCGAGTGCCAAAAAAATGTGGAATCTTCCAGGCCTTGTCAAGCTAAAATACCAACATAGGATAAATGCCCAGAATGCGCGAAAAGAATTCTTAAAGATTTTATGCTGGTTCAGACTACACATAAAGGTAGTCCTTGACTTACAACAGTTCATTTGGTGACCGTTCAAAGTTACAACGGAACTGAAAAAAGTGACATGACCACTTTTCACACTTACGACCATTGTAGCATTCCCATGGTCACATCATTTACACTCAGATGCTTGACAACTGGCTCATATTTATGACGTGCAGTGTCCCCGGGTGTGTGTGTGTGTGTGTGTGTGTGTGTGTCTCCCATGATTCCCTTTTATGACTTTCTGACAAGCAAAATCAATGGGGAAGCCAGATTCACTTAACAACCGGTTTACTAATTTAACAACCACAGTGATTCACTTAGCAAATGTGGTAAGAAAAGTCATAAAATGGGGCACTTAACAAATTTCTCACTTGGCAACATAAATTCTGTGGCCGTTAAGTCAAGGATTGCCTATAGTCCTCAACCTATAACCACAGTTAGAACCAGAATTTCTGTTGCTAAACAAGGCAGTTGTTAAATGAGTCACACCCAATTTTAGGACCTTTTTTTGGCCACGGGTTTTAAGCAAATCACTGCAGTTATTGAATGAATTATGTGGTTGTTAAGCCAATCTGGCTTCCCCCATTGATTTTGTTGGTTGGAAGTTGGCTGGGAAGGTTGCCCATGGTGATTACATGATCCCAGACACTGCAATTCTCTAAAATACACGCTGGTTGCCCATCACCTGAACTTTGATTATGTAATTCTAGAGGTGATGTTATGGTTTGTAAGGCCTGATTGTAGGTCACTTTTTTCAGTGCTATTGTAACAGTCAATAAATGATAGTTGTAATCCAGGATGATCTGTATTGTCAGTGGTGAAGAACCACTGACTCAAGACCCTAGAAAGATAGATAGATAGATAAATTTATTGTCATTGTACTCAGAAACCTGAGAACAATGAAATAAGGTGCTCTTCCACAACATACAACTGGACAACACCAAAAGACATATGCAAATAACAATGTAAAAAAAAATAAAACAAAGGGTTTGGGAGCTTTCCATACTGCCAGAAACTCCATTACACTGAGGGATCCCCAACTGTGATGGTAATGATGACCAGATCATTGCACTAAAACCTCCAACTTGGTAAAGATGCATCCATGTTGAGTAGTGCAAAAGAAGGCCTGAGAGAAAAATCATGGAATAAATCTAGCATTGGAGGTAAATTTAATCTGGACCTGGAATGGGTAATTTGCGCGAGGATAAAAAGGAGCTGGAAAGCACTGGTGCAACTGTTCTATTTACAGAAGGGCATATTCTATCAATACGGTTGCAGCCATGACAGCTGTTGGGTATTGTGCAAACTCTGATATGGTCCCGCGTGAAATTCATATATTGACTTCTATATTGTAACTACTTTATCTTGCAGAAACAATGTGCTTGACCAAGAAATATGTTCCAACTGGAAGAGCATTTGCTCTAAAATTGGGAGGAATTCAGAGGCAATGATTTCAAATTTACAGAAAGATAGGAAACAGAAAGACTTTTAACATATAAACAATATCCCAGTTTATCTGGTTTCTAGGTAATGCCACAATTGGAAAAACTACAGGTAGTCCTCAACATGCGACCACAATTGAGTCCAAAATTTCTGTTGCTAAATGAGACAGTTAAGTGAATTTTGCCCCGGTTTATGACTGTTCTTGCCACAGTTGTTAAGTGAATCATTGCAGTTGATAAGTTAGTAACATGGTTGTTAAGTGAATCTGGCCTCCCCATTGATTTTAGTTGTCAGAAGGTCGTAAAAGGAAGCCACATGACCCTGGGACACTGCAGTGGTCAAAAATATAAATCAGCTACCAAGCGTCTGAATTTTGATCATGTGACTAGATGAGGCTGCAATGGTCAAAGTATGACAAACAGTCATAAGTCACTTTTTCAGTGCCCTTGTAACTGAACGGTTACCAAATGAACTGTTGTAAGTGAGGACTATCTGTATAAAAATATGCAAGCTTTAGAGACTGCAAGGGCCACGTATATTATAAGTTTGTGGAACCATCAAAAGATAAAGATTTTGAATTCCAACAGCAAATCTCCAATAGGAAAACAAAGAAACCTCCAATGATCTGGTCAGATATTTATATTGAAGTTGGAATTCCAGAGAACTACTCAAGCAAATCAGTCTCTGTAAGAAAGCAGGGGAAGGGAAGAATAAGTACATCATCACTCTACGGCAGGGATGTCAAACTCACGGCCACTGGGCCGGATGAATCACGTGCTGGCCCCACTCCTGCACGGTTTAGCGAAGGGGGGAAAAAGTCCCAATATGTCACATGATGCTGCCGTGATGACGTGAGTTTGACACCTTGGCTCTATGGGATAGATAAGGCCAGATAAACTCACTATACTACGAGAGAAAAAATGAGGTCTATCATCTTTTTTAGGGTTGTAAAATATTTGGATTAGGAACTAGTGGGTCTTTTATAGGCATGGAAGTAACTCAATTACCCTTTTGACAAAAAGTTTCAGATTTTGGTCTTGAGGGGTGATGATACAAGAGCTCTGAAAAATAAACGGCATATTATTATAGGCCACAAAATGTCAGGTATTGCCAACACAGATTGATCTGGAGGATGCAAAAAATCAGGAATAAACTATTGAAAAAAATGTTTGTACAAAAGATGAAGTGATTGTAGCCAAATCACCCCATCCTGTTGAGAGGAAAAACAAATACATAAAATTAATAACAAATAATAATTAAAAACAACATTTTATAATTTTCTCCCCAATAATCTTTGCCCCTGACTGGCAAAGCTGACTGGAACCACGTGGAAAACCACGTCTCAGTGAGACTTCTATTCTTGTTAAGATGTAAACTATTCCAATTTGGTTGCTGAAAATTAACTTGCATCTCTATTGTTGAAACTTTCCATAGTCAAACAACTAAAACCTATCTGGCAAGGCTTGTTTTTCATTTTCCAATTTCATAATCTCTTCTGCTTCGGAACAGTCTTGCACTATCACATGCCAAAAATGTCATATGTTGCCTGACATCCTTAATCAATCTGGATAATTGGTCCAGCATGACCAAACCTGCCATCATTTAAAAATATATATACAGTATGGTAATTTGCTATGACAAGCTATGTTAATTTTGCTATGTTAATTCATGAAAAATAATCAATATGGTACTTGGTTATGCCTAGTAATACTAGCTCAGCATTAATGCAATCTATCAAAATGGCTGGCAAAAAGTAGGGGGTCCCAGTGGAATATAATTTCCTATCTATGCTGTCACATTCCTTGTCATCCAACTATAATAGGGTAGAATGGAACTTCTGGGACGAACAACTTTATAGCCCTTCTATTTTTTTTATTTGTGCCTTTACGACCATTTCTTGACGCCTGGCAACTGCCTGGAAATGTCCTTGAAGTTTTCTTTGGCAAGGTTTTTCAAAAATGAAAGTTTGCCTTTGATTTCTTCCTAGGGCTGAGAGTGAGTGACCAGTTTAATGTCACTCTAAGTCCACAGTACCTAAGTCAAAATTAGAATACACAGTTACGGCTTCAGTTGCAAGTTAAGAATTGACTTATAGACAATAAATTAAACACCATTCAACAGAGTTGTAGGAAATCAAGTGGCATACACATTTTTATGCTTCTCAACCTCAGCAACTTGTGGACTTCAACTCCCAGAATATTCTAGCCAGCATGCCAAAATCTACACGTCTTAGTTGCTGAACTTGAAAAACATTGATTAAAGGAACGGAGAAAGAGTAATCAAACCCTGTCAGAGCAGGTATGATGGAAGAGAGCACAATCTGGCTAACCCAAATGTAACTCAGATTTAGAATGCCCTAAAAAAAAAAAGCTTCTCCAGGCAAACCTTAGCATTTGATGAAATGAATCACGGATGAAAACGTTTAACTTCTAAGAAAAAACATTCTTTCCCTCCCCTAAGAATGTATTTTTCAGTTTTCTATCCACAGAAATTTCAAGAAAAAAAACCCAATAAGCGGCATACACTCTAGGGTGAACATTTCACCCTAGACATCATAAAGCATTTCCTTCCAAATTATAAATCATCCCATCTATAGTATCTCATTTACAACGGCACATAAAACTGGGTGGAAGAACCACAGCTGAGTAACAGAGTTTTACAAGCAAAGAGCTTCAGGTTTATGAGACAGGAAAAGAACCACATATATTCACCAAACTATGCAATTGATTTCTTAAATATGTGACTGGGACATCTTGAAAAGATAAGGAAAATGGCTGTTAGACTATGTCGAGGATCAGAAATGATATGCTTCTGAATTCAGTGGGAATATTTTGAGGGCAAAGCTGCTCTCAATATTTGGTGGAGGTATCCTCTTAAGGCCCTACTCAGACTATCAGAATGCCAGTCTATGGTCTGTTCCATCACTGCTCTTCTTAAGACAAAGTAGGTAACATCAACCTAGATGGACAGAAATCTGACCTGTTAGAAGGCCGAGTCTTGGGAATACTCCCCCAAAAGGATCTCCAGGTGGCAACAGATACTAAGGAGACCATTTTTTTCTTGCCTGTCTGCAGGAATCCGAGCAGTGCCAAAGAAGCCGGTCCTCTCGGCTCGAGTTGCAGCCATCACTCGCAGAGGTCCTATCCGTTGGCCAAGAGCCCAGAAGGTAATATATTCGTACTGATCCAAATTCACTGTTACCTGAAGAACAGAAGCCAGAACTGACATGAAAATACAAGTTATTAGGGACTCCCACATGCTGAACATCCCAAAGTGATGGGAAACAAACCATCTATCACTGTACTACTGGGGAAGGCAGCTGTAAATACCTGCCAACTGCTCAAGTCTGCTTATCTGTAGGCTTCCCCAAGTATGTTTGGAAAGAGGGCTACTGCCATATGAATCAAAGTGCTTGTCAAAATGCAGTATCTTCCCAACACTGCTGAGAAATGCTTGATAAAATGAGAGAGCCCAGTTTGGAAGGCAGCAGATTCTTCCACCTGCAACCTCTTGGAGCACCTGTCACCTCTGGGAAATGGTAAATTTATTTGTTTTTTCATCTTGTCTTTATCATTTTTAAAAGTAGCTCAAGAGGGCAAACATATAATACATAATGGTCTTTCCTCCTTCTATTTTCCCAACAACACCACTGTAAAATGAGTTGGGATAGAAGTGACTGAAAGACCAAAAGAAACCCATCTGGCTTTTACACCTAAGGTGGGACTAGAGCTCAGAATTTCCTGGTTTCTAGGCCAGTACCTTAACCACTAGACTGAACTGGATCTCTAAGGAAAAATACAATGGCTTTCATATTCATCATCTCCATGAATCAGCCATCTGACAACTTGTAGCTAATCTGTAAATTCCGAAAGGGGATGTTAGAACAGGCCAACCTGGTTTCAAAGAGGTGGATGTTCTCACTCACTGAAATAATACAGATAGTCCTCAACTTACAATGGCTCCTTAGTGACCATTTGAAGTTAAAACTGCACTGAAAAAAGTGACTTATGATCATTTTTCAAACTTATAATTATGACAGGGTCACGTGACCACCTTTTGCAACCTTCTGACAAATAACAACAATGGGGAGCCTGATTCACAACAACTACAGTGCTTCACTTAACAACTCTGGCAAGAAAAGGTTGTAAAATGATGCAAAACTCACTTAACAAATTTCTCACTTAGCAACATAAATGTGGGGCTCAATTGTGGTTGTAAGTTGGGACTACCTATATGCAATTATGACCTTGGTGAAGTGCCTCAGGGATCTGAGCGGAAGAGTCCGTGATAGTCCCAATCTGAAGTGATCAATAGATTCAGGTTGATCCCAGGTTTAGTGGGTCACCTGACTGCCTCCAAAGTAACAGGAAGCAAAGTGTAACAAATTTTATATATTTTACCATGGCTGTTTACTACTGCTGGCTTAAGTCTGAAAACATCACTTTAACACTGGAAAATCAAAGGTGTTTGTTGCTGTTTCAGGGATGGGTTGTGAAGAAGATAAAAGTAACTACACGGGTACCCCATCCCTTGAGAAAACCCAAGAAGCCAAGGCACAGGTGTTACATACTTGGTTGCTAGTGGGGCAGGACTCTACATCTGTGATGGGAATTCCATTCCTAATGTAAATATTTTTATGTGTGATTTCTCTGACTGCAATTTGAAAAGGGGAGGTTTTTGCTTACAGTCTCATTATCTCAAGCCAGGCCTATCCATTTCCAGCACTTCTGTCAGCTGAGACTCTTACAGCTAAAATGCATATCGTACCCCTTTCCTCTTCTTTTAAAATTTGGTGAACTGGGATTTTTTTAGGCTGGAGTTACACAGGAAGGCAAATTATATAAGATGGATTGGATAAGATAGGATAAGATAAACCTCTATAGTCATTTTTTCCTGTGAGCACACTTGCCCACATTAAAAATGAAATTCTGTGCCTGCTCTAAAAAGTATGTGTATGTGTTTGTGTATATAAAGATTAATCACTGTCCGTTTTGAATACAGAGCAGAAAGAGAAAACTTGAGAGTTCACAAGGTTGATGCTGTATGGGATAAAACTGTGACTGAATCTGGATGTTCTGCTTCAGAAACCATGAAACTCCTCCCAGAAGGTAACAAGAAAAACAAATTGTGACGAAGATGTGTAGCATCCCAGACAATCCTGCAGACCCTACTCAAGCATCGCTTTTATGCCATATCCTGGACAGAAGGGAGCAAACTGCCAATAAGCTTTTCTGCCATCTTCACCACTCTCTGCACCACCTTCCTTTCCGAAGCAGTAACATTCCTGTAGAACAATTTGTTTGGATATGGATACACACACACACACACACACACACACACACACACACACACACATTTAGCAAATACAAAATAGATGCTAAAACAAACGAACCAATCAGAATTTACCAAAAGATGGGCAAAGTGTGAACTGAATGCTATCCCCAACGTTCTGTTTTGTGGCTTTCTAGAGTCATACTATCAAACTTTGGAAGCAAACTATCAAGATATATAATTTGTTTTTTTTCCTGCCAAAAACATTTTTTTTAAAAAAGGGAACTGTATGTCTTCCTTTAGATTTAATACCATTCAGCATCTACCTGCCTGGTGGCGTTACTCCCTTAGCTGCCTTAAAAAATAAAGAAAATTATGGTCTCTAGCAGCTATGATACCCTGCCACTAACCAGAAAGACCTTTGTACTCTGTATATATTACTGTATGTATTAACTGCATTTCATTTCTTAATAGATAGTAGCAATGTTTTACCATATCTTGTAAGACACCCAAAGCTGTAAAGATAATAGGCAGAATATAATTTTCTATTAAAGGAGCTACATGTTAATTATGAATAAGCAATAGGCAGCACTTAGGCAGCACTTCAGATGGTGATATAATCTATAAGACAAATCAATGGAGAAAAAGGCTAAACTTTAAAATGCCCTTTCTCCAGCATCAGACAACATATGCCTCTTAATATGATAAACTGCAGCTATGTATTGAGGAACACAAACAAGCTGTCATTCGTATCCTGGTGAGAACTTTTTGATTGGCACTAGAACAGTTATAGGGGAAAGAAACTGTGTGTCTTAGTTGCCTTCAAAAAAATCAGAGTAAGGCAAAGCAAAAGGCTGAGTAATACTGGGAAGTTCTGAAATTTTTATATGTGGGCTTGGAGAGATCCAAGACCATCCAAATAAATTCTAGGATTTTGTTCTACTCATAATTTGCCTTTGTGTGTATCCCCAGCCTAAGAAAATCCCACTTCACCAAACTTTAAAAGAGTGGGGAAAGGATTGGATTTGCATTTTAGCTATAGGAGCCTCAGAAGAAAGAAGTGCTGGAAATAGATAGGCCTGGCTTGAGATGAGACTGTGAGCAAAAACTTCCATTTCTGCTTGCAGTCAGAGACATCACACATAAAAATGATGCTCACAAACAGAAAGTCATCAGGCAAAACACGAGGGTAGGAGGAGGTGTCTAGGATAACTTGCCACAATCAACTCCCCATGGCTAAACCACCTCAGGACAATTCAACCTTGTATCAATCGTTTCATTCAGTTACTTTTATTATTAGTGACCATGTTTTCATTGAAATTATTGTAACTTGTGTTTCTGGATTGGCTTTAATATTATTGAACATGGTTCTATTGAAATTAATTTATCTTTTGTATTTGTTGAATTGTCCCATGGCGAGTTAGCTGTGATGAGTTGGCCATGGTGAGCTAGCAGCGAGTTGACCCATTCCAAAGAAGAGAACCTAAGTAACTGAGATTACAAGAGGTATGTCAGGGAAAATCCACAGGGTATTATCTTTATCTAAAATGTTTGTCTGTTTTACCATTTCAGGACCTCTTCATCCTCTATCACATATAACACAGATGGGACACCCTGAAGGAAAAAGATGGAGTGGGGGTGATTTTTATTGCAAGCCACACCTGGACTTCATCATGAGGGTGATTGACAATCAGTGCATAAGCCAGTGCTTCTTCTGACAACTTGTTGAAGTTGGCCTGATCCAACAGTGGTTCCATCATGGCCAAAACTTTCTGTTCTTTCATTAACCGTTCAGCATCTGTCAAACAGAATTCCTGCAGTGTGTCCCGGTCAGGATCAATAGGTGTATAGTGTTTCTAGAAGGGGAAGGCATAAGTGGGAGGATTAATGCAATTAATACAGCATATTTGTTCTATGTCTGGTTACTATGAGCAATTTATTATTGAATTCATCATCACAACAACAATGGGAGAACAAGAAGGAATGAGTTACAAGTAGTCCTCGACTTACAACAGTTCATTTAGTGACTGTTCAAAGTTACAATGGCATTGACAAAGAATCTTATGGCCATTTTTCATACTCGCATCCCCATGGTCATGTGATCAAAATTCAGGTGCTGGGCAACTGATTCCTATTTATGACGGTTGCAGTGTCCTGGGGTGATATGATCACTTTTTGTGACCTTCGAACAAGCAAAGTCAATGGGGAAGCCAGATTCACTTAACAACCAGGCTACTAACTTTAACAATTGCAGTGATTCATTTAACTGTGACAAGAAAGATTGTGAAATGGGGAAAAATTCACTTAACAAACGTTTCATTAAACAACAGGAATTTTAGGCTCAATTGTGCTCATAAGTCAGGACAATCTATATTCCATCTTTGCTCTGCGAGTTATTTAGTTTCCAATGCTGAACAGGCAGAGAATGCAGATCACCCACCAAGGATAGGAATGTAACATTTCACTGACACACATCCAGAAAATATTGTAGGAAGGGAGTCATTTAAGTCGGTGATGATAAAAACCGGGAGTTTGGTAACATCTTCTCTGACTACAATAACACACTTTATTAAAGGGCATAAAATTTAATGTGTAGTCAGGAAAGATGCTAGCTACCACTCTCCTTTCCTATTTCTCGTGCAATAAAAGTGTAGTAGAGCAGGGGTCTCTGACTTTGGCAATTTTACAACTTGTGGTCTTCAATTTCCAGAATTCCTCAGCCAGCATAGTCTACACTGCAAAGTCCACAAATCGTAATGTTGCCAAGGCTGGGGAGACCACTATACTAGAGAACAGAAAATAATACTGGTTACTGTTCAACATTTCATTTGCTTTGGGATCAGTATTTTAGCAACTTTTGTTCAGGCAAGCAAGCAAATAAATGTCAATCTTGATTCCTGCTCAAGATTGGAAATGTAACATGCAGGATGTAGCTAATTCTCCCCAGCTTTTTTATTTTCCAAACAAAATCCCCACAGAAGGTGAAAGCTGATGGGAGATGTTGCTATCGGAGCAGCTGCAGACATTCCTGAACTCTACACCATTTTAGGGATGAGTAATAGTCTCCTAATGCATCCAGTAGTTATTGGTTTTGATTCAGAAAACTTGCTGGATCAATTTTAAAATATACTAACTTACTGCAAATCACAGTTCAGTTTGTGATTGAGAAATGGCTTTACTGGAAGTCTTGGACTTATGACCACAAATGGGGTTCCATTGCTAAGTAAGGCAATTAAATTACATTGCTAAGCCAGGTCTTTAATGTTGTTCTGAATGTTATGCCCTTTTTCACCATGGTGAAATGAATCACTGCAGTCATTAAGTGAATCACTGCAGTTGTAAGTGAATCCAGCTTCTCCCATTGACTTTGGTCATGGGAATCTGGCTGGGAAGGTCACAAATGATGATCACATGACAATGGGACAGTGCAAGCATCTTAAATATGTTGGTTGACAAGCACCCAATTTGATCACTGAGATGCTGCAATGACCGTAAGTGATAGGGCTGGTCATAAGTCAATTTTTTCATCGCCATTGTAACTTCGTAGGGTCACAAAAAATGGTTGTAAACCGAAGACTACCTAGATTACAATATGACCCATGCTCGAGATTGAGATAATTTGCCATGACCACATATTCATAATGGAAGGAGAGAGAGTAATAGCTCCATCCTTTCGATCTCCATATTAATTACAGTGGTATCTTGGTACTCATCTGCTTTGAAACTCATCAAATTTGATATTCAACGTGTTTTGATACAAAAAAATGTTGTCCCAGTATTTATCATTTATTGGGTACTCAATGTAAAAGCTAGAACTTGTCGCTGGTGGCTGCTTTGTGACTCACTACATTATTCCTTATAGGAAAAATTTGTTTGGTACTTGTTCTTGGTGCTCACTGCACCACCAGGAACCAATTAACGATGAGTACTGAGGTAACACTATATAAGGAATGAAGGTGCTACCTGTTATTAGCAAAGAAAGTCAAGCAACCTAACCAAAGAGGCACACAGTGACCCGCATTTCTCTGCTATCCCACTTGGTAAGGAGCTATTTTTATTTAGAAACATGACAAAATATGTTTTTTTTTTTAAAAAAAAAGAATACAGGTAAATATTTGGGTGGGTGAAGGAATGCTCAGTAATACAAACAATTGTTATAACGATCACCTCCCTCGCTATCATCTCCATAAGACTGGAACAATTTTTATAAATTGCCTGCAAAAAGTACATTTGCAACTACCTGTAGCTGCTCCAAAACAGAATAGTAATGTTGTACAAGGGATGAGTCCACCTGAGACACAAACTGCAAGAATGAGATGCGTTCTTTATGATTAGAAGAGTGAAACTCCTGAGAAAGGAAAAAAGGGACCCGATTAAAGCTCTAAATGGCCATAACCAGCAGTCCTTTTATTGAGACGTTCCTTGGGTAGTAGCAAAATAAATATAATTGTTTACTCAGTTCTGCTGCATTGTCATCTCTCTAGCAGTCAAGTTAGTGGCCTACCTATCCTCTTGCTGCAGCACTATGATCCTTTCAGTTTTCCATTTATTTCAAGCAACTTCTCTTTAATTTAGCTTAAAATTGATTTGATATAAATGTTTTTGAATATAATCTGCAATAATACTCAGAGTAGGAATTTTGCAGTCATAGCTACTGGGAAATTCCTCTTTTCCTAATTCAAAACAAGTCTATAACAGTAAGCAGCCTAAATTCTTCAATAGGTATGCCTGAATCTTCATTGAGATATGGGCATCTTCTTAAAATTCAGACTCCATAGATGAATTTTTGGATAACAGGTCTGCTAACGAACATTTTTAGTAATCAATGTAACTTGGAATATTTGTGTACAATGCCAGATTGTGAATTTCTATCTATTAGAGAAGGAACCACTGTTCAATAACAGAATGCATGCTTTGCATGTAGAAAGTCCCATTTTAAAAATCCAATTAAAAGGGATACAAAGTAGTAAATATTTTGATATTCTTGAAATTATAACAATTTAGGATAGATATATAATCAGATTTGACATAAAATATATGGCTTTAGAAAGTTGTCTTAACAGATAATAGCAACATGCATCTCAAACATCTTTATCACTGACTTACAATTCATTTAGTGACTGTCTGAACTTACAATGGCACTGAAAAAAAGATTTTCACACTTACAACCATTGCAGCATCCCCATGGTCATATAATCAAGATTCAGATGTTTGGCAACTGGCTAATATTTATGAAGATTGCAGAATCCCCAGGTCATGTGATTGCAACCTTCTGACAAGCAAAGTCAGTGAGGAAGTCACATTCACTTAACAACCATGTTACTAACCTAACAAGTAATACGGTAAGTGCGGTAATTCACTTAACAAGTATTGTAAAATGGGGCAAAATTCACTTAACAAATATCTCACATAAATTTTGGGCTCAATTGTGGTTTTAAGTCGAAGACTACCTATAGTAAAATTTATATTTTCAATGAGGTGCTTTGTGTCTCTACTAAAGAGAGAAAAAATGGAATATTTCACAACAGACTTCAGATTTCCAATCCATACTTTTTATGTTTCTTCACTTTTTTATCCATGACTATAGTAGAAGCGGCCACTTTGGCAGTAAAGAACTCCTGGACAAGAAAAAAATGTCCTGATTTCTAAAAGTTTCATACATCATTACTAAGGTGGGTAAATTTATATGGCTGGATCATTATCCTTAATTTGTCCTTATGGGAACATAAGAATTATAATTCAGCACTAATTCAGGTCTACAGTGCAAAGGGCTTATACATTGTATAACCTCTATCTGCCTAGTAGTAAAGTTCAAAAGAATTCACTTCCTATTCTCCAGATCACTGTTGTCCAAACTACTCCAGATCTTAAGAGATCAACTTTTTATAATCTGTGCTCAGTATCTGGACTGCTTCTGTCTGGTAAAGGCCATTATACCTTTCTAGAGTGAGTCTCTTTAATAAGAGCCTTCCAATTTAAATGAGAATGGTGTATTTTCAGTTTTAATCACAAAAGATACTATTTATCAAATGATCAAAGCAAACACTGGCTTCCAGGGTAACATTATGGTGTCGTCCTTCCTCAACCATTAAGGAATTTAGATAGCTACCAATTGTAACTAGAATTCCTCTTTCATTCCTTTTTATATCCTTTTCTCCTTCCTACAAAAGCTTATAATTTGTCACCCTTTCATTTTTTTATGCCATGCCACTCAGCATGTATAGGATAACTGCCTTCTCCTCCTCTCCACATGCTATGTTTTCCCCTTATTTCTTTACTTTTGTTTAGCAAAACGTAAACCACTGTTTCCTTTCCTCTACTCTTCAATTTCTACAAGAACAGCAATTTATTTCAAGAAGTGTTTTCATCTCTTCAGAGTGTTCTCTCTTCCGAAGGTTCATCCCATTTGACCCATTTCATCACTTCAGTAAGTTGCTCCATCAGGACAAGTTTTTAAAGATTGGCTTAATTCATATTCCACATTTTCATGAGACAGACCTTACTTAACAGGCAAAGGGATCTAGATGCCTCCAGAACTCTGGGATGAAGGAAAGTTAGGTTCTGAAATCAAGATTGCAGAAAATTTGCTAAAAGAAAACATCTGGTATACTAAAGCAAGCATTGACTGGACCAAGAGAAACTATATTTTGCAATCCGAATGCATCAAGCACATCAAGTAAACCAGTATAAACATATTACTGTATAACGCTTTACACTATTACTGTTTGAGTTGTCTACGAGAAGGGGTGACACATTTTGCTTGCTTCTATATTTCACCAAGCACTATCCTCATGTTCTGAAAATTGTTTATGCTGTTTTGAAGCACTGAAACATTGTGAAAGCCGAGAGGGGTGATTGTGAATTTGATGCAATGCATTTAAGGGATGTCATAATTGACACAGAAGCCTATTTTTACCTTTACCAGGGCTTCAACCAGTTGGCTCTTGGAAAACGGGATGTATTTCTCCTGATAATCCACTGCCCAGTTCTGTGGTTCTGTTGGCTTCCGCATCCTCCGATATTTCACCATCGTGGCAGCAAGGGAGGCCTTACCACGCAAAGACAAACCTATAATCTTGTTCCCCAGGGCTAACCGGGTTATGCTCAGCATTCTGGGAGAGTCCAAAGCTTAACAGTTAAAAAATGGCAGCAAAGGTATATCCATATTCCTTGGCTAAGTTTCCTCACACTGACATTATTTTGCAACTGCTTGAAAAGCTGTGGCAGGCACCTTTTTGAAGCAGCCAATGTAAGAAAGCTTTGAGAAATCAAGTAGAGCAAATCTATCTTTTTGATAAGCTGCAGGCAAAAAAGACTCGGTTAACATAGAAGTACCGTGCACAAATGAGAAGGTACTTTCCCCGCTACCTCCACCCACAAGTGCATGTGGAAGCAAGCTCACAACCAGGACAGAACCACAGGCGTTAAAAGTCACTGATCAAAATCATCAGGCTATCCAAACTGTTGAAATTAAAACCCGCTCACTCACCCCAATTTACAAACCAATGAGGTTATTTTTTTCTCCCTCTTCTCACACACACACCCCTCAAACCCTTTTAACTACAAGATCCAATTCGGACCAAAAAAGAAGTCCACTATTCGAGCAGCGAGCTCTGACCTTTAAAAAGAAGCCTGACATTGAATTAGGCGGCACATGCGCACAATGTTTCTTTCTCTCTTCCGCCCGCAATTCTAATATTTAAGCTATTCCCGGAGAACCTCACATTGCGTCGTGCGCTTGCGCAATGGCTTTTGTCGATTGTTGCGAATTAAGTTGGGCCCATAAAGTAGAGATAGAAAATTTAAAACAGCTACCCTCAATCGTAAAGCTTATTTGCCCATCATCTCTGTTCTGATTCAGTCTCTGCAAAATACCGCCAAGGCTCACTATGGAGCCATTCTGTATCATTCGTCTTTTACTCAGTGAGAACTAGTGAACACGTTTCGAGTTAAGAGAAGTTGGATTTGTTGCTCTGTACGATTTTCCCTTCCTGTCTCTATGGCCAAACCACGGGGCGTTTGCAACAATCAAAAGAATTCCACAGTATCGGAAAATTCCAATCTGTTCGGTTTTAGCATGATGCGCATGCGCCCAGCACATTATTCGCACTGGCGATATAAGACTGCAGTTCCTCCTCAGCCCACGCGGGGTTCTTTAGAATCCTCTCAGGCGTCCTTCTAACTCCCACCCCCAACAGTCATTTCCAACTGCCCTGGCAGCTCTCCCGACCATTCAGGCTTCGAGTTCTCTCAAGTGGTTTCCCCCTCCCCTCCATGGGCACGTGATGAGATCGAAAAGGCGGGAAAACCTTCATTTCCTTCACTTTCCCCAAGGGGTAAGTGAGGAGTGAGGATGTTTCCGAAATGTTCCTGGATGATCAGGAACATGTAAAGCGCTGAGTCCTTAATTTCTGAGTCGGCTTTAACGTGCAGTCCCTTACAAAGTTTCATTTGAGCTTCTTAGCTTTCTCCCATCTGCCATTTTCAGGATGTATTGGACGTCCATATTCATATGTAGATACGGTAGTAAAGTAGGGATTGAAGCCAACTTCTGGCTGAGGAAAGGAGACTGTTAAAAATAAGGGACACAGGTTGGGTTCTTTGTTACAATATTTTCTCCAAGACAGAATATATATAGCTGTAGTTAAATATTGAGGAACACAAAACAATGTAATCCACGAGGGACCAACTTATTTTAATATATTTAATTGCATTTTAAATGGATCTTTCTCAAGAAACCAGAGGCTATACGCCTTTCCTTTTCCCTCATTTTATTCTAACAGCAAGAAACTGCCTGGTTTAAAATTACCCAGTAAGTGGCTGAGCAGAGGTTTCAGTACAGATGCTCTGCTAACACTAGCCATTATTTTTCAGTAGTTCTCAAGTAGGAAAAGAAATCAAAGAAATGTGTTTAGAACTGAAATTACACATGGAATTTAATAGATCAATTTCTTATTTGCTATAGAGAAATAAATCTGTACAACAACCAAATAGGGAAGTTTATTCTTTTGAAGTGAATAATTCAACAAATTTGAATAGTAAAACTTTTTTGCATATTTTTTTTTCAGATAAAACTAATCAGATTTGCAATATTTACCATGAAATTAGATTCTGAGAACAAAATGAAAAGGCATACTGAATAGTTTTTGTGCTCCATCATGGGTGCTAAGTGATGCTAGTACTCATTTTTACTAAAATTTAAATATGAACTGGAAAATGATATTTAACTATACACTAAAATAATGCATGAATTCATCATAATTGAGGCTCCAGAGCATATCTTGGAGTGATGGTAATAAGTGTGTTACTGCCTAAATAGAATTATATTGTTAAATATCAGAAGTATGGCTATTACCGATTAAAAGCTGCTAGTTCTGTTTTGTGCAACTAGATAAATATTTCTTGAATAAAACTCATCTTAAAAGATAATGGAAAATTCTATACATTGCTTCTAAATATTTCATAATCACAGTTTTGAACTTTCATATGCCTGGAAGATAGATTAGACTTTTTGAGCTGTGCTAAGGCAAGAACAGAACTCTGAAAAAACTATATTCTTTTTTTTAAAACTTTCAGTGTTGGTAGATAGAATCTTAGCAATATTTGTATTATATTCTTAAAATCCAGATAATGTTTCTCAGCTTCAATTTACAGCAACCTTCCAGATTCAGTTTTGTTCTAATGACAAAAAGACAACTACAGGATGAGAAAAATGACTTCAATCTTGCGGGACCTTTCAGACCATGACATGGTGCACTTCTTCATACAACCTCAGATTGTTGCTAGAACACTAGCAGGGGTGAGAAAATAACAGTACTAACTAAATGGTGGCTTCTGCTATATTTGGGGTCACATATAATCTCTGGTGCAGTTTTAACTTCAGAATAGTGTTCTAACATAATTGGGGATTAAAAAGAGGCTATGACAACCTCTTATTATTAAGGATAGGTTGTATTGTATCAGCAATAGCCATAATATGTTGATTTTCAAATATAATCAGTCCTTTGCTTTATAAAAAAGTAGATAACCTGTGACCCATTGGGTCATTACAGAGCTATTTCCTGACTAAAACAAGAAACAGAATGGCCATGGGTGGGCAAAAAAGCAGTGAGAGTGGGAGAAATTTCTGACTTCCTGCCAGCTTTTTCATTGACTTCCCTTGTTGGAAGCTGACCTGCCTGCCTTCTAGTTTGGGTCCTCATTGACCAAATTCTATCTGAATAATAATCACATATGTCTAACTATACTATTTTCACTTAGTGTAATCATTTTGTATACAAATGTGACTACCTCACCTCACCCAGACTACAGTACTTGTAAAAATAAGATTTGTTATTTGGGTTTTTAACTAAGATCCAATTATTATGTTCAAAGCCACAAATGATTTGAATAAGATTAATGTCTGATGAAATCTTTTATAGGGAACATTTAAAGTGCAAAATGCCAACAAAATTCATATCAACTCTATGGAGATCTTCAAGACTTGGCCTTGGCATATATGCCAAAGGCATGTAAGGTACATACAGTCAGTCTATTCTCTGACATGAGTATGATTCAGCACTGGCTCAAGTCTCCAAATTTCCTAAGTTATCTACACAGCTTTTTCTTGAGCTGCTTGTCCTGATGAGATAATTATGTGCCCCCCTTTCCATACAAAATTCAGGTGAATAGCATCTTGGTGGACTACTTGGAAAATTATTTTCCACCATTGTTTTTCTTCCTTGTTTCAGCTGTGCTATAGACAGTATATATGGGCAGAGGTAAAACTCTAACCCTCATTTATGTTGGTTGTAGAAGAGGTGAATGATCAGGTTGATTTTTCTCTTTGCCTCAATGCAGATTCAAAAGAATGATACTTGGATCAGTTAGAAGTGTTGATTGCAAAATTGTATTTTATGGAACACAGATAGTATTCAAACATTTGTATTTAACATTTCCATTTTTTTCTCTTGCTCAGGTGTTCTCTCTGGTCATATTTGCCTCCTTGGTGACTGAAGGATATCAAAACTTGACAACCTCTTCCCAGCTACATTGTATTTTTAATGATAATGGGGCAGCCTGCTGCTATGGCATCACAGTCGGCGTACTTTCTTTTCTCCAGTGTTTCCTCTTTTTGGGCTGTGATGTCTATGATACTTGCATTACTAATCACAAGTTCAAGTATGCTATTCTTATATTGGATGTTACTTTCTCTAGTAAGTAATTTTTTGTTATTTGAAAATAATCATAGAGTTAAATTTCAATATTTAACAATAATTAGGAGATAGCTGATGCCTGAGAACCCCAATATTTTAAATATTTTACTTTATCAAAATTGTCCTCATATTTTCTCATTCCTATATTGTCCCCCTAGATAGCAAGACATAATCATGGTGCCTCCCAACCACCTCTCCCCATTGAAATCACAAGTTCTATCAAAATGAAAATGTCAGCCTTATATTTTACATACCAATTGCTGTTAGATTTGATCTACATTTGATTACACTGTTGCTGATCTTCCAAATGAATCTATCCAGTTAAAATTGTTTCAGAGGATCTTCTTTGGGTTCCTTTATTATTTGTATTGACAAAGAAAATGGGCACATTTCTAGGCTTTGTACTTTTGTACCTTGTTTCCAGGGAAGACAAGTTCTCTTCCATGGAGATCTTCTATTAAAATTTTTACTTCAGATCATCTGAGGCCCTCTTTAGTTATTTTATTGCTCTTTGTTGTCTTTATTGTTTTTAATATGTCTGATAATTTCCTATAAGTTTCTTTGAGAAGCTGAAGGCAAGATTCTGTTTTCTTAATGAGGAAACAATACAAATTCAACAATTGTGGATGGAAGAGATAGAAACTTTCTGTTCTATTCTGCCGGCTTTGCAGTTTTAGGTCACTTTATTTTTTTTATCTTGTTTGGTCTTTTAGCTGTTTCAAACTTCTTTTTTCCCCAAAAAATATATGACCTTAAGATACTTTATGTATTGATCTGACTAATGGTGTACACTTTCTTATTAATATTTACAAAAGATTAACTACATTATTTAGCTAATAAGACCTAGCTCTCTACAGAAGGCTCTAATGATGGGAAAAGTGGAAGGAAAGAGAAGAGGATGACCAGCAGCAAGCTACTTGGACTCAATCATTAGTGGGTGCACTGATAAAAGACTTGAAAGACCATGTTATGGACTGATCACTATGGATAATTTTTAAATTTGCTAAGAGTCAACAACAACTTGATCACTATACAGTTACTCATTGCTAAATGAATAGTTACTTAACACTTGAAGTTATGAAGGACTCAAAGCTACTTTTGATTCATCCTTGATTGCCAAACCCCCTCCTCGTGTCACACAATTACATTTCAGACACTTGGCAACCAGCTCAGATTTATGACTAGTTACAGCATTCCATAGTTACATTACTGCAATTTGCAATATTTTTGCAGTTTTCTAGCAGATATTAGATATGCTTGATTCACTTGATTGTGGGGTTTTTTTTAACCACCACTTGATTTGCTTAATAGCCATAGTGACTCGCTTAACAACCATCATAAAACCAGTTATAAAATTGAGTCAGATCCCATGGTAATCCGTAACTGCAAAAACTTATGACTAGATGGCTCAATTGTGGTCATAAGTTGAGGACTATCTGTAATCACTTTTTAACTATATTTGTCTACACTAAGGAGTTGTACTGGGGCTGGAAAGTGAAGAGAGCAGTGCACATTAAATCTATAACATGTAGTGACATTATTTTACTTTCGTTTATAGAAAACATTTGAAAAACACATTACAAATTCTGATTCTGATTCAGTTCCTTAATAGGATGAGTTTAGTCCATTTATATAATATCTTTATCAGTACAGCCAAACTTTCCATGAAATAAGTTCATATTTAAATAACCTAGTTCAGCTTCTATCAATCAAATCATTTAAATCTTATTTAAATAATCTTGGAATAATTTATTTCAAAATTATTTTAATATGTGCTGGCTTGAAACTGAAACAAAGTTATTGTTGGACAAGTCAAAAACAGAGTTAAAGAATCCTCAATTTTCTTACAGTGTCAACATAAAAAAAAATCTGATATTCAATCATTTTTAAGCACTGGTGGTCTAGAAGCATCCTTATATAGGGTATGGCAAAAGAATAAAAGAAATAATGAAAATACTATTTTTTCCAGATACAGCAGTGGGTTAAGGACTTAATTATATGTATACTAACATACAACGTATTTGTTTATATCATATTCTTAGTCATCTTCTTTCCTCAGTGACATGGACATGCCTGTGGTTTATTGGATTCTGTATCCTAGCCAATCAGTGGAACCGGTCAACTCACTCCTACCTGCTGGGAACTAGTGCTGCACGGGCTAGCATTGCCTTTGCCTTTCTTTCTGTTCCATGCTGGGTGAGTCAGTCAAGTACATCCATTATTATTTCAGAATGAGTCTGCCATGGAAGCAGAGTACATCCCTGCAGAGTGTCATTAGCTACAAAGGCAATTTCATCTTATTAAGGCCAAATGAACTGCCTTAAGGAAGCATATATCATTTACTTTACTCATTAAATCAGATGAGGATAATCCCATAATGTTTACTTTTCAATGAAATTAATTTTTTTTAATTGTAAAAGCAGTTTGGATCAGAATGTATAACATTTGTATTTGAATATTCTTAAATTTACTGCTACAATGAAGATATTTCAAAAGAATGTATCAGACTGAGCTAAATCAAACTAGCACTCCTATGTAACACTTAGATTTGAAGAGGTTGCCAAATAGACAATCATATTATAAACCTAATGATCTTATGATTCCTCAGATGCCACAGAACTTGAATTTTCTAGCAGCCTTCACTAGAATGGCTGATTACTAATAAAGATGGAAGATGGGAGTTGTAGTTAAGTAACATTTAGAACACCACAGATATTCCTGCACTACTCTCAGAATTTGTCAGAAGCTTATACAAAATAACTCATGTTTGTGTATTGAAAAAATGTACATCATTTTCTGTTTGCTTTCTGCTGTTTTTATGTCTTCCACTGCTTGTTGAATTTCTTTGTAATTTTGTGTACTATTGTACTCAGGGGTCCTTGGAGCTCTCTGAGCTTAGTTGTTTCATTGCCAAACTAGGGAACATTGTCAATTCTGATAATGAAAAAACCCAAGCTCAGAAAGCACCAAGGACCCCACAGTTCAACCCTGAGCTACAATATTATCTTTTTATTGGAATCATACCCAGGTCACCCATTTCCTGCAAAGATTGGTTCCATGGCATAAATAATTTTGTATTACCATGAAATGGACCTCTGATTCCTTTAGATTAGTAATTAAAGTTGATGGTTCATATTGAAAACATCAAACCAACCTACATTAAAAGCTAATTTTCGGGAATGTTAGTATTTTAAGTATAAAAATACAACAAAGAGGAAAATATGCCTACTCTGTTTCAAAACTTTGAAGTTAAAATCTAGATTATCTAATTTCTGGGAATGAGAAAACTAGCCCAGGAATGAATTCTGAAGCAGGTTTATTCCTTCATTTGTTATGGAACTGGGTGACTCACATTTCCCATCAAAAATATAGAATAAATCAGGAGGAGCCTTCATGTATAGGCAATAGCAGTACTCATTTATTTAAAACTTAACACAGAAGAAAGTCAAAGCAATTCAGAACTCAGGCTAGCCCATAAATGATGTTCTTTAACTCAGGAAGGCCGAACAGTTAACATACATTTTACATCCAGCAGAGGCCATATTGGTAACAACTTACTTGACCTCCTGCCAAGCTCAGAACATTTTAATTCCCACTGCTTACTCTGCCAGTTTACTAAGTACATTTTGCAAAAAGTGCACCTTTGACCAAAGTCTTAATTTAAAGACTGCAGAAAAATTGCAGATTTCTTATTAGTTTCCCCCACTTATGAAGAGAAATGACCACAATTAACAGGAAATTAATGAATTGAAACTGAACTTTGTAGAAGGGATATGGATCTTTCTTCTGCAAATTGTATTTTTCTGAGTGCTTTGTAATTTTATTACCAATTTAACCAGATGGACTGTTACGCTTTCATAGTTTCCTGGATTCCTTAGAGCCCTTTTAAAAGCTTGATGGCAATAAACTGTTTTTCAAGAGTTCAGTGTAGTGGTAGTTAGCAGGGTCAAGATTGTAAAAAAATATACTTCTGTCTAAAAAAAATACCCAAAAGAAGAAGACCCTGTATTGTAAGGTACTTCATGGAAGAGTACACAGAAATAAATAAGTACAGGAAAAATCCTACCATATATCACACTCAAAAAAGGGGAAGAATCAATACAAAACAGAATTAATACAAATTTAATTAATGGCTACTGATTTTTTCTTCTTCTGTTTAATTGTGTCTCATTTTGAGGGACTACTTGGACATGCCGCTGCAGGGTTTTTCTGTTGCATTTCCTTTTTCTAAAGCGGCTTGCCACTGCTCCCTTTTTAGGGCTGAGAGAAAGTGACTGGCCCAAGGACATGTAGTTGGCTTTGTGCCCAAGGCAGATTAGAAAGACTTCCAGTTTCTAGTTTGATGCCTTAACCCAGGAGTGTCAAACTCACATCGTTGTCATGTGACACATCAGGTCTCTCTCCCCCCACCCCCCTTTCATTAAACTGGGCATGGGCGTAGCCAGCGTGTGACTCATCTGGCCTGCCGGCTGGGAGTTCAACAGCCCTGCCTTAACCACTACACCAAACTGGCTCTTGATTTAATATTAATTGCCTGTAATATAAGATGCCCAATTTATTTTTTTTTAAATCTGTCATCTGCAATCTCTCAAACATACTGGATCACATTCTACTCCATCTTAGGAGAAGTAAAAAAAGAAGCAAAAACAAAAAAACTACCCCACCTCACTCTAGAATGAAGATGAGGAAAGGCTACTGAATAGATGTCTAGGGAGTGCAAGGAAAAAAAGGGGGGAAATAAAGCTGGAGATAAAGTGAGAGAAATGGGAAACTGGAGAAGAAAGGGAAGAGAAAGTTCAAGATTTAGGCATTACTAAAAGCAGGCAAACAGCCTCCCCTATTAATTTTTAGGAATATTAATTAATTAGGAATATTTCAAATAATCTATCACCCGTGCCTTTCGGTAGCAATAGTATGAGTTGTTGCAGCCCCTGCTCATTTGTTGAATAGCAATATGGAAAAACCCCTTCCTTTCTAATTTACTGATAATTATTTGGAGGAAAGTATAGTTTTATTGGATAAATGCAATTAATTTTTCTCAATACCTCTGCCTCAACTAAAAATTCCCTAAGCCTGTTAGTTGAATTTATGCATGAATAAGACCACTTTTCTTAGCAAGCCAACTTGGAGGCCCTAGAATTTAGCATTTTTCTGGGTAATCTAAATTTTCCTCCAAGACCTTACAATGTCATCCTCCCACCTTCTCCTGAATTCTTAAGCATTATCTTCCAGCCTTTTAAGACAAAGAATGATACAGTAATCTCCGCTCTATGTATCCTACACATGGATTATTAAAAACCTCTTTCCTTGATAACACATTGACAGGTCTACCATTCAGCACAATTAATATTTTTTTAAAAATAATGCATTGCCTACAGAATGTATGGATTTCTGACATATGGGATGGAAATTATTTTTTTCAAGATGCAGTTCTTGGGACAACACTAAACATGTAAATAGTTACTGCCACTTTAACATGGGAGATTTAACATGGGAAATCAAGTATTCGTAGATCCATATTTGGGTCTGGTGCTGCTTTTCTGTACATACTCCTTGTATGTCAGGCTGTTTAGATTGTGTGCCATTAGCCAGAAAGTAATCAAACCATTGCCCAAGGAAGTTAGATCATCACTCAGCTGATGCATATCTATAGCTTCCTTAAAGGGTAAACCTTTTCAGGAGCTTTTTTCATCAGATCCGAGTCAGTGAGATTCTTTTCTCCAAAGTTTGTTAATTTCAGGACAAGAATATCAATATAAATTTGTTGGAACTGAAAGTAGTGTACTAATACTACTGAACATTTAGTTCAGGGCAAACCCTCTTTTGACCCACACATCTGATCAAGTCCACTTAAATAGTAAGAGGAAACATATTCCCAGTTCCTAATGCACCGTCACTTTTGGTTGGATTGAGGAAAGGCCTATTTTGAATATCAGCAGAACATGTGCAAGATTTAAGAACCAGTCCTTAATGGTGCATGTTCTACCTATATGATCAAAGGGAAAGGAATATCCACCAATAGTGTTCATTTGGGAATTCAGTGATTACTCAAAGTAGTTGTTAATGTTTCTCTAGCAAATAACAAGGCTAATAGGTCTTATTTCTGTATCCGAAGCAAGGAAAATGAAATGTTTTATCACTCTTATGGCCTCAGGAATACATATTTTTCCTTAAGGACTCCAATTAGTTTTACTGCTCTGCAAGATACAGTTATAAAGAGCACTTGTAATTTTAGTGGTTTCAAATAATTAGTAGCCAAGGAAAATATGATCGCATATCTATGCATAACAGGACTTTGCTTCCTATTTATTACAAAGGGCCTTCTTGGGCTTTAGTTTTTCACTCAAAACCAGCATGACTATGACCATATACATGGCTCTTGAGAATATTAGCATATGGTCAGTGATACTATTTTGATATGTAGGAGACTTTATAAAGAGAGTATATGAATTAGAGACTTTATGATATAATGTAGGGGAAAAAGTTTGGGCTCAATCTGGACTAAAAGATGTTATTGCTTTTCTCAAAAGATTAGGCCCTCCAATCTAAAGAGATTGGTCGATGCTATTGCATATTTCCCCCTTCCCCCTCAGTAATCCTCTACTAGCCTAGCTGCCTAATCTTAAAGCTAATATTTTTGGAGAGATAAGTACCCCGCTACAAAATCCCAGTTGTTGATGGGAATTTGTCCTGGAATTTACACAGGATATTTGGTCAATATTTTGATACTATTTTAAATTCTATGGCTTTACTTTACTCACAATTTCTCTGAATATATACTGAAATGTACACTTTAGTTCAGGAAGCACACATATTTAAGAGGAGGAAATGATTGCCCATATTTGATAGTTATGGTATCTTAAAACCATATTTGGATATTTGTGGTTTGTAGATATTTATATTTGTAACATTATACAAATATTCTTCATTGCAACAAGTGGGAAGAATAGTTAATTTATAGATATTCTGTTCCTTGCAGAAAACATACATAGTACATTAGGACCAATACTTGGTTTCTCTATTTTCTCCTAAAAATTCTATTCCTGAAAAGTTTTCTCTTTTTCAATTAATCATTTGAAAATGATTAAACTTACTATATTTCACTTATATCTGTGAGAAACAATGTGGTTGTTGTAAAACAGCCGAGAGAATGTATTAGTTATGCTAAATACTTTATTACTCCATAACTTTTCTTTATGAAGTCTAGTATGTTATCGATTATTATACCATATTTTGTAATATCCTAAATTACCCAGGACTAGATCAAATTTCTAATCATAAGATAAGATTACAGGTACCTGACTTGCCACCGCTTCTCCTCCATAGGGATATCTAGCCTATCTGGCTGTGAAAAACCTGTGGGCTGAGCCACCTGTGCCTTATAAGCGGACGCTGGATGAAGGATCTGTTGCTCTGACCACCCTTTCTACATCCACCACCACTTCTCTTCCCAATAATATGGGGTTCCCTGAAAACATGGGTGCCGCTTCCTACCCATCCACGCCTGTACCCCATCGACTAACTTTAATGAATACTGATGACTAAGCAGTTATTTGTTCCTGTAGTAAATAAACATTTTACTAAAAAAACAAAACCCAAAATGTCTGAAGTTGGTTTTACTGAAGCGAAGCAAAAATAAAGATGGATGGACAAGGAATTTGTAAGCATGATATAACAAATGGTCATTGTATGTAATAATAATAATACACAAAAGCTTCATAAAGCCTGAATGTTCATCCATCCCTGTCTTTCTTGGAACGGCATACATACTGATTGTTTATCCCTTAAAGCCAAATTAAGGTTCTTGTATCGGGACTTGTGCCTTAAAATGCTAAAAGCCATCACGCAGGAGGGAAAAATAATTAATATGGAGATGCCAAGGTACTGTTATATTTTCAGGAATGGATATAGCACTGTGCAGGTATTATATGTTTCAAGACATAAAATCGAGCATGTGGGAAAAGACTAACATTTTCTATTCGCCATTCATTCTCTATAGACAATTAGTAAACAAGTAGAGGCTAATTGTGAGGCTGGTATGAAGAATTCTCTATATTATGCCTTTGTCCTACCAGACTGATTCAGATGCTTTATGGTGCTTATTTGGGTTATATGAATCCTACAGTATAAAATTGTGTACAAAAAAATTCAGTATAAACACAATTGTGGCTGTCTATGTGGATTCATCCCAGATGGTTAGATGTAACTGCCATAACCATTATGCAATTTTATAGTTCATATGATCACAAAAGAGTCTATTAGCTATTTTCAGGCAGTATCTGTGGGTAGCACAAAATACAAATTTTTGCAAGGAGTTCCATGAAAAATGTAAATAATAAAGTAAGCTACTCCATCTTAATTCATCTAATGGTACAGTATTGAGTTGTATTTTTAAGTATAATCAGTTTTCCACAAGAAGCAACTGTGGAATCATGGGTTACAAGTGTTCCCTTAGCAAACGATCAAAGTTATGCGCTAAGCTTCCCCAGCATTTGCGAACAACTCTTGAAAGTACAAATCTTGCAACAACATGTCAATTCACCCTTCCGAACAACCAGAGGGTCTGCAACATTCATTCTGAATATTGCCAGCCAAAATGGAGCTTCCAAGGGTCGGATTAGTCTCTCTGATGCTCCATTTGGGCCTCTAGAGGTCTTGCCCAGCATGTTGCAGGCCGAAATGGAGTGTCTGTGAGGCAGACGCTCCATTCAGGTCTCCCCATGCCTATTGCAGGCTGAAATGGAGCTTCGAAGGGCCTCTCTGAAGCTCCATTTTGGCTTGCAACAGGCTGGTGGAGACCTGTGGAGGCCCAAGCGGAGCGTCAGAGGGGTGATCCGCCCTTCAGTAGCTTCATTTCAGTTGGCAACATGCCAGATGAGGCCTCTGGAGGCCTGTATGGAACTGCAGAGGGGCACAGGCGGCTGAGAGGCTGGAGAGGAGACTGCTTGTTAGATCTTCAAAAGATAAGTGACATGGCGTGACAGGTTGGGTGTGGGGAAAGCAATTGTGGGGAGCATGAGGTATTTTAGTGGGGAGACGGGTGGTCAGACAAGTGGCCTATTCCATCACTAGGCCCCCTATGGTCTTTCCCATCGTGGAATACCTCACGTATACTTAATGAGCCTTGCATTCGATTAGCAAATGCATGGGCAAAAGGAGGGATCGATCCCATTCAAGATATGAGATTCACTTCCACGAATCCTCTGGTATCGAATAGAATGGGCAGCTCCATTACCTTTGTAATTCAAGGACTACCTGTAATTCACCATGACCAAAACCAGGTTGCTGCTGAATCATAATTATGTAAATAAGCTCTGATAATAAGCCCAGGCATTCATTTTCCAATAGCTAATCATAATTCAAAACAAATTGCAAATTTTGCTTTATAAATTTAAGAAAACCAGCTACAGAACCATAGTAGAGAATAACTTCAACAGATAGTAATTTAATATGGCTATTTAGAAATGGTTCCTTCCTATAAACACTGAATTTAATGAGATTTCTAAGTAATTGTATAAAATCACACGTGTGCAATCTCTCCTTCATAATTTTGAAAGCAAGAATTCTAGATTTTGCTTTTAAGTAAGCATACACATACTTTAAATCAAGGTGTAATGCAAACTGGAAGTCTAGATTGGCTGAAACATGAATTCAATTTTAGTTTCACTGATTGTTTAGATTCATAGCAGTAGTACAACAGAGATTGAAAGCATACAAATTTGTTATCAATTCAGAGATGTAGTATCAAGAAGCAGCAGTGATGTGGCATTTATAGAAAGCATGTTCTAATACAAGTATTTATAGGCCTAGGAGAATAAGTCACTGCTTTAAGAGAGATCAGAAAAAGCCCTATAAAGTCAATATGGGATAACGAAGACATGAATAGCACATATACTCTGAAGCACGAAGATTACAAACAGGCAAAAAGCATAATTTATTTTTATTTATATTCCCATCCTTCCCACAAAGGCACTAATTAATAAGGGAAAGAGTTTTTTCATTTTATTTATAGCGGATGAAAATTTAATTATCAAATAATACAAAAATGAAGAAAGAGTAAGTGACAAATATTTAAAAGAGAAAGGTATTTTCTTGCCACTAATGTTTCATAAACAGATCCAAAAAAACCCAAACTTAAAAGAATGAAACAATTTGCAAGCATTCCTGTCTATCTGGATAGCTTTGTAGCACCAGGCCTTCATGAACAGAAAAGTTTGCACTTCATATTAGCATTTATCAACATAAAACCCCAAATAATGAGTGCAAACTAAGAGGATAGAACAGATTTTTTTTAAATGTATTTCCTAGTTGTGCTGATTCATCCCAAATAATACTCAAGCATTATAGACACCGAGAATGATCAAAATGGGTTAAAAAAACCCCAAAATCTACAATCTACATATTAACCAGGAATAGTCATTGTTAGCTTGGGATCCAAGCTGTGCTTCACCTCACCCCCAATTATAGCAGTCTGTTTTGCAGAAGGATCATCAGTTGTTTTGTCTCAAACCACACTTAGATCAAAGTTCAGAGTGGAAATTGAGATCAATAGGACACTAATATTTTAAAAGAAATATCAATCTGTATGTCTAATTTTCTGTGAAGCATTCCCTTCATTCTCCTTGGCCAAAGTATTTCGTTCCAGTCTTGATCTTAACTTATGCTGGCAAACTCAACTTCTTGCCTTTTAGAACTGCAATAGGAAATAGAAATAAGAGGTAAGAACTTCATGAAACTTTAGGCAACATACCAAGAAATATGGTGCCATTGCTTCTATAGAGAGAAAATGTATTTTTAAAATAATATTTTAATTAAAAAAACCATTAACCAAGAGGAGTCATTATACATAGGACACCATAACATTTGTACTCTTATTTCATACGCTGATAGCAATGCTTTGTTTTTATATATACATCCATCTATTAAATTTAGATACTGACTGGGGTTGTACAGATAAAAGCATAATAACCATATATCAATAAAAGGGAGCCAGATAAAATGATAAGTTAAAAGGTGGAGGGCTTGGGGGTGGTGGTTGGGTGGGATACTAGTCATCCTATCAAAATAGCACTATGAGAACATGATATAAGTGTATAAGCAATATTGCCAAAAACAGCCTTTTGAGGACTGAGCAATTTTATTGTGCATGAAATGATAACATACTGTTATAGGAATCAAAAGATGAAAAGATGTAGGGGAAGAAGTTATGGAAAAATAGAAATATTGCATATTATTACTTCCCCTGTATGTATTTCAATAATCCAATTGTCTGCGTATGAAGCCAAAGCAATGCAGGTACTTTTCAACATACATACAGCGATTGGGATCAAGACTGCTGTCACAAAGCAATGATATCATAAAGTACAACCACTGTGCTTAGTGCCAGAAATCCAGGTAGTTCAATTACTGTTGTTAAATGAATGCCCTGATCATTACGTGAAGCAATTTATTCGTGGCTTCCCATAATCTATCAGTAGGGAAGCTGGTAAGAAGTTAAAAGCCCCAGGCATTGTTGGTTGGAAGCAGGGAGTAAGGGAGGATTGGGACAAGGTGTGAGGTACCTGAATTTTCAACTTCAAAGGCTTCTGAAGTCTCTCTACTGAGGGCCTGAAAATCCTCTCACTCTTGTCTCTGGGGACTGATTGAAAAAGTTCTGTGCCAAAACCCAAACAGGACTCTGCAGAAAACACTTTGTGCCAAAGGAGAGGCCTCTCAGCTCGGGGTGGTGGGTTTGAAAATAGCCTGTGCCAACATCCTACTTGGATTTCAGCATGGAGCTTTTTCAGATAGACTCCAGAGATGACAGGGAATTCTCTTAGCAGGCGATGGTAGCTTGCAACCTTCCCTGCTGGCTTTTCTGGGGAAGCCAGCAGGGAAGATTGCAAATGGTGATCTTGTGCTTGTAGGACACTTGGCAGCTGTTTGTAATTGCAAACAGGATACCAAGCACCCAGACCATAATCTTATGACCACAGGGTTACTGCAACAGCTTCAAGAACCTGTTGTAAGTCCCTTCATTCAGCATCATTGTAACTTTGAACAGTCACTGAACATTCAATCGTAAAATGCAGACTACCTGTACTAACAAGTAGAAAATACAAGTTGCAGAAACTCAAAACGTTTTTTTTTTTAAAAATCAAGCATACGTAACAAATGCACAATGCCAATATTTGTTAAAGAGGGACTGAAAAAGGGTGGGGAGCTGAACTGAAAGGGTATTTCTGAAAGAAGACATCTCTAGCTATATTGCAAACTAAAATGTTTCCTTTTGGTTGCTTTTAAGTCTATATATCTTTCTAATTATACTTTAGTGGTGAATATATGTTTATGTGCATGCACAGAGGTCTCCAAACTTGGCAATTTAAGATTTGTGGACTTCAATTCCTCAAGCAACCATTGATATCTCTATGCATGAATATAGATTGAATATAATCTTAGACTTAAAAAATAAAACACATTTCATTAAGGTGTTCATTAACAGACAGCTCAAATAATTTTGATGCTACAAGTAAAAACAGTAAAAAAGCAGTACATATTTGTCAGGCAGGTGCCCTTTAATAGAGTAACTAATTTAATTCCTGGTAGGCTAGTCCAACAGATTTTATTTTATTCAATCCTACAGAAAAAGCTTTTTAGTGCTCACTGTTTTGAATATGTGAGC